AACATAAGAACTGCCTTCAGAAACTTGTGTAAAGAATCATTCAGGACCTTGTATACCTCATACGTCAGACCAATACTGGAATATGCGGCTCCAGCCTGGAGTCCACATCTAGTTATATACAAAACGAAGTAAGAAAACGTTCAGAGGTATGCCACCAGGCTAATCCCGAGCTGAGAGATATTAGCTACGAGGATAGATTGGTGGAACTGAACCTCACGACACTGGAAGAGAGAAGAGTTAGGGGACTTGATCACTACCTATACAATTATCAGAGGAATTGACAGGGTAGATAAAGATAAACCGTTTAGCACGGGTGGGACGCGAACAACGGGACACAGGTGAACACTTAATTCTCAAATGAGCCACAGGGATGTTAGAAAGAAGTTTGTTTAGTGTCAGCGTAGTAGATAAATGGAATGCATTAGGCAGTGATGTGGTGGAGGCTGACTCCATACAGTTTCAAATGTAGATATGATAGAGCCCAATAGGCTCAGGAACCTGTACACCAGTTGAGAGGCGGGACCAAAGAGCCAGAGCTCAACCCCCGCAAGAACAACTAGATGAGTACACACACACACACACAAGTATCGCAGACAATCATGCCATACAAAAGATTTGAAAATCCAATATTAATTGGAACACCTAGAGATCATAAACTTTACAAGATAGAACCAACATGGGTGTTTAAGAAAGGCAATGCTTTCATAAGTGAATAAAACTCTATGATGCGAGGACCAAACTCATGGGTATTAATCACCAGACCCGGTAATAACTCTCCTGTACCTTCTTGTACACAGATAAAAATATAAATAACATTGCATGAGTCTTCAACACTGTCCTTCACCCGCCGTCTAATATATACCGTCTAGCAGTGAGTGTTGGGACGACGCTAGACCCGTCAACAATGTCTGCACGTCGCAGTAAGAGACAGTGTAGTAGTTTAAATGGGAATATATAACAGGTGGGCTTCCATATAGGCCGGTACCTAAGCTCTTACTGATGTATGCCAATAAACTCATCAGGAAAGTTACATCTGAATCATCGTGTTCATCTTCTAATGATATCATTCGTTTCGTCGAGGGACAGAAAGCCTGTGTGTGTATATATACACAGGTTCGTATCGAGGTTCTCGGAAATCATTAGTGTTGCTGACAAAATTTTGTGTTTGATTCTACTACTGGGTGGACGACCCTTCCACTGAGTGGACGACCCTTCCACTGGCTGGAAGACCCTTCCACTGACTCGACGACCCTTCCACTGGCTGGACGACCCTTCCACTGGCTGGACGACCCTTCCACTGGCTGGTCGACCCTTCCACTGGTTGGACGACCCTTCCACTGGCTGGACGACCCTTCCACTGGCTCGACGACCCTTCCACTGGCTGAACGACCCTTCCACTGGCTGGACGACCCTTCCACTGGCTGGACGACCCTTCCACTGGCTGGACGACCCTTCCACTGGCTGGTCGACCCTTCCACTGGCTGGTCGACCCTGCCACTGGCTGGACGACCCTGCCACTGGCTGGACGACCCTTCCACTGGCTGGTCGACCCTTCCACTGGCTGGTCGACCCTTCCACTGGCTGGACGACCCTTCCACTGGCTGGACGACCCTTCCACTGGCTGGACGACCCTTCCACTGGCTGGACGACCCTTCCACTGGCTGGACGACCCTTCCACTGGCTGAACGACCCTTCCACTGGCTGAACGACTCTTCCACTGGCTGGACGACCCTTCCACTGGCTGGACGACCCTTCCACTGGCTGGTCGACCCTTTCACTGGGTGAACGACCCTTCCACTGGCTGGACGACCCTTCCACTGGCTGAACGACCCTTCCACTGGCTGAACGACCCTTCCGCTGGCTGGTCGACCCTTCCACTGGCTGGTCGACCCTGCCACTGGCTGGACGACCCTTCCACTGGCTGGACGACCCTTCCACTGGCTGGTCGACCCTTCCACTGGCTGGTCGACCCTTCCACTGGCTGGACGACCCTTCCACTGGCTGTACGACCCTTCCACTGGCTGGACGACCCTTCCACTGGCTGGACGACCCTTCCACTGGCTGGACGACCCTTCCACTGGCTGAACGACCCTTCCACTGGCTGAACGACCCTTCCGCTGGCTGAACGACCCTTCCACTGGCTGGACGACCCTTCCACTGAATGGGCGACCCTTCCACTGAATGGACGACCCTTCCACTGAATGGACGACCCTTCCACTGGCTGGACGACCCTTCCACTGGCTGAACGACCCTTCCACTGGCTGAACGACCCTTACACTGGCTGGACGACCCTTACACTGGCTGGACGACCCTACCACTGGCTGGACGACCCTGCCACTGGCTGAACGACCCTGCCACTGGCTGAACGACCCTGCCACTGGCTGGACGACCCTTCCACTGGCTGGACGACCCAACCACTAAAAGACTCAACCACTGGGCGCATTATAGATTTAATTTCCGAATGAATATTCAGCCCATCCTCGTGTTAAAGACATTATTAACAGTAATGCTCTGCACCACCAATGGGCAAAGTTTCTTTCACCCTATGCCCCTGTTACCTAGCAGTAAAATAGGTACCTGGGTGTTAGTCAGCTGTCACGGGCTGCTTCCTGGGGGGTGGAGGCTGTTACCTATCGTACGTTACGGCTCGTGACTCTACAGCAGCCAAACTTTAATTACGTCTAGGGATACGACACAACTGCTGTTCTCAATAGCGAATCACCAGTATAACCCCTTGATAAGTAATGAGCACAATAATAAATCTTCATAAGGACTGAAGAATAGATACAACAATATTATATATATGTATTAAATAAATCTCAATAGCAAACAGATGATTATATGGTCACAATATATCACATTAAAATATCACTGTATCTTCCAGACATTAAATTACAATTATAATATATATATGGCTATGACAGAACAAAATATTATAACTTAACTCCAAGATGTTATCTCTCTGGTTCCCGTTCAGCTACTGAATAACAAAACGCGAGAGTCAAAACAGATTGCCTTGCCCCGCGAATAAATTGCCAAAGTTACAATATTTATTATTTCAACAATGGAGCAATACATTGTGACAAGAGTAATCTTAAACTAACTTAATGAATAATTAATACATATTGATATACACAAATAAAGTAAGTGTTTCTTTACATAGTAATTAAAATATGCATACAGAAGAGAATAATGGCATGCACCCCAGCAACGGACGATCCCACGACAATTTGCCAGATACAGTTCACTCAATTATTATTCACCTCTGTTACCCACTTATGATCACATATAAATCATTAGTTCCCGTGGGAAAACTGATCACACAAAGAAATAAAACAATCATTCCCACGATACGTTGGGCCTAACGCCAACACTGTAACATGAATGTGCATTTTCATAGAACATATAAGTATAACAATATACATGCTTGTAATTTATACACAATTATAAATGTACATATTAAAATATTTACTTACGTATCTTATAAGGGTACGTAACAGAGGCCTGGTCGAGGACCGGGCCGCGGGGACACTAAAGCCTCGAAATTATCTCAAGATAGGAGATAACCATCGTACATATTTTGATGTACGAATGTCCACATTGCACATCAGTGACGTAATGGACGATTAGAAAGTAAAAAATTTTGTATATAGACAAAATTTTGAAAGAAGACTTTTGAAAATGGACAAACCGGAAAAGGTTTTGTATTTTTCTTACTAATAGAATCATACCTAACCATCCCAGGCCTAATACACGCTATATGAGGTCTAATATAGTACATATATGTGCTATACTAGGCCTAGGAATATTTTAAATTTGATTCTTAACTTTATTTTTTTCAGGACTCTATAAAGAGAATAGTACCAAATGCTACTATTTAATGGTCTTTTACGCCAATATATGAATGATGGTTCACTTAGTTACAGAAAGTATTAAACAAGTGAATGATTGAATTATTTCAGAATGAGTTTCTGCATAAATATTACAGAATGAGTTCATGAGTATTATAATGAGTTTCTGAGCACAACAGAACAAGTGAACTCATGAATGACGTACGAAACTCAAAAGTATAATATTCAGTATAAACAAAACTACTCATAATAATAATACAGTCCGTCCTCCAAAAATGGGGTGGTAAATGTAAGGAGACAGATAAGTGCAATTATGTACTATTCATAGCAGTTAGGAATTGTACTTATTTTCACTTAATTTTAAATCGTAGTCAAATATATTGTGAATATTTGAGTTTACCTGAAAAACTGAATAGAAAAACTCAACTTACCTAACCGTCTTAGTTTTTGAAGATAATAATTTTATTGCTTCTTAATTACAATTACTACTTAACCTATAGCTATATTGATATTACAGTTTTATAAAACTAATAAAACAAAACTAAAATATATCAATAAATTGTAAAGAAACTCAGGATATTTTAAAATTTTGTATAAAATCTACATTGTTTAATAAACCTAAAAACGAAATTCTTGATATTTAAAACTTGCGTTCAGTTAAAAGTAATTGTAGTATTAATCTTAAAATTTTGAGGGTCTTAACAGAAAACGAGGAGAATTAAATCTAGCGAGGGAGTTGGGTAAATGGACCAGCCCTATAAGTGTAATTATGCACTGTTTATGGGTTAGTAAATGTACTTATTACACTTAGTAATAAATCGTACTGTTAATTCGGAGGATGGGTTGTAATAATAATAATAATATTTTATTTAGGAAAAGTACATACATAGATGCAGTTACAAACATTCTGATTGATTTATAGAGGTAAAACATACAATACCTAAGCCTACTAGTACGCATAGCGTTTCGGGCAAGATAACTTCTGGTAACTGCGTATGTGTAGTCCAACATGTCAAGCTTTTCTCCGAATGATTTATGCAAGGAATATGTACTTGTGTAATGTATCACACATATACGTAAATATACGCATTTTCTTCTTAGTGTGTGTGTTGCCAGATGATTAATAACGCTCGTATTTTCTCGTGCCAGAATGGTGACTCGCAGCAGTATACACACTTCTTGCCTCCTGATGACGCGGCTGGCTGCCATATGGTCGACCCTCCCGCCGTCAGTAGTGTCGCCGTCGCCCGTCATGCACCGCGCGCCAGGCAACACTATGTCTACACACGCACAAGTCACGCCATCCGGCCAGACTAAACCGCTTCTGCCTAGTATCAACAATGTTACAGTCGCACCAAACATACACCATGAACACGATGAACAATTGAAACCTACAACTCGGAATTTTAAGAGTGTTCTTCAGGGAAGAACACTCAGTAATAATGCCCTAGAAGGGATTAGTAGACCTAATAATCAATCAAACGTCACAAATTCAAGAGAATCAGAAAATGACACCCTGACTGAAGCCTACACATACAGCACAGATTACAGCGACACTGTAAGCAACACTACGGAAGACTGGTACAGTTGGAACGACACCTTTACAGATAACAGCACTGATGTCTTCAAGGTGTATTCCAAGATCTACAGGTATCAAATGATCAAGGTGAGGGCACTTTTAGATTTTAAATGAATATTGCATGGTTTTAATATGCAATTAATGTTTTCTTTATGGCCCTGGATACATCATTATTTTCAAATTATTAATTATGTTGATTGCATAATCGTTTTTACGGCCTCGTGTCACAATGATATTGTCTGGTTGGTCAAGGTTACTAATATATTTAGGCTATTGGGTCAAGGCAAGATGCTCGTCTACTGTCTTGCTGGTCGTTGTAAGATGTTATGTCATCATCTATAAGTAAACATATAGGCATATTATATTTCACGCTCCTTATGCTATCTCTTCCCAATAACACCTGCTGCTTATCTGGACCAGGTATTAATTTATTTGCCCATAAAGCACAAAATATAATTAATATACAGTACAATATGCACAAACAAAATGTATTTTAACTGCCTTTGGATTTCCCTAAATCTTTTTTTTAATACCTCAAATCTCTTTTGTATAGGAATTTTTTGCCCAAGAGGTTGTAAATATTTCACTGTATTGTCATGTAATATCATTACGCTGTTATTAATTTAATGTTCGACAGCTAGAGTAGGTTGTAACAAATCCCATCACATTAAATAAACTGCTGATTCCTGGCCCAAGAGCTGGAACTCATGGATTGTAAACTGGAAAAGTACTGGTACCATACAGTGAAGAAATGCTAAATGTAGTCGTGGCATTACGATTAGGTCGGCAAGCCACCAGTAAGGTAACGCGGTACCAAGGTAACACAGTACCAAGGTAACGCGGTTAACCCTGTGTCAGTACATTACGTGGCTTTGCCAGAATGTAACTGATAGCAGGATGTAACTGATTACCTTATCCATAATAATTCCATCGCACCTATCCGCTGTATTAATTAATATGGACGTAACTTATACACAATTTATTTTCAAAACATATTGTATAATTTTGATAAATATATTATGAATATTTATTGATAATTTTAGTTTTCTCTAGCGAAAAAATATCAGACTTATCAAGGTCCCAATCGTGCAATAGTCTGCCCAAGTGATCTCCCACATGACCCACCGCGCAAAACCAGAAACCATGCTTGCCCATTGCATGTTGGCCAACGACTAACATTTATCCAACTTCACAACAGCTACCTAACTTCCCAGGTTACTGTTAGGTGAACAAGTGCATCAGATGTAAGGGAATATGCCCAAACGTTTCGTCCTGCTGGGAATCAAATTCGGGATCATTCGGTAAAGAGGCAACTGTTAACCGATATCGTCTGGGTGCAAACCCGAACATCCACGCTCACTCACGCATTAGCATTCACCCGCAACACACGTTCCGCACAGAGATTTCTAATAGTTAACACTGCATATATCATTAGATAAGGCTGGATTTGGTGATACTATGATATGTTAGGATGGGTAAGACTAGAACAGGTCGAGTTACGTTAAGTTGGGCTGGGTTAGACGAGGTAGATTTTAAAATCCATTGATGAATTCTTACTCAATAAAGTGACAAAGAGTTCCCCTTGGAGGTGTGAATGCGGTATTGAGCGAGGTCTGGCCAGTGAGTCACGAGGGTAGCTGCAGGCCTCGCGTGTCCTCGTCACGTAACCAATATTGCAGAGCAACTCGCGGCGCCACCCGCCACGCTAAGTCACCCAGACTGCAGCACGACCGAGCCTGCCACACTTCCGACAGGGATTGAATGGGAGTCGCGAGGATGGAACTTATCGCAGTGAATAGTCAAGCGACGTAATTTGTAAGAGGACGGGCTGCCATCCTCTTAAAGGGTAGTACACCACATGTAGTAACTATTTGGTCCAAATTACCAATATGTAGTAAGTAATGGATCACTAAAATGTGTACGTTTTGTATTATTGAATTATGCCAAATAGGAAACTTCTAACCGCAACATGAAAATGGACTTAACGTAACCTAACCTGTCCTAGCAATCCCAGGCCTTATACATGCTGTCTGAGGCCTATCATAGACCTCATAGCCCGGCGGGCTATACGTGCTGTATGTTAAGCTGTATGACTTAGGAATGTTTGGTTGGTTTTTAGTGTTATTTTTCTCGGACTCAAATTAAAAGTACAAAACGTGAACTCTCTGGTGGTCCATCACTACATACTGATACTTTCGACCAAATAGTTACTTGCTATTTACAGTCGGCATAACCGCTTAGTCCTGGTGGTAATTCTCATGTAGGCTGAAACGGTTTCCCTAAACCAAATGTCATTGTTCACTTAACAGTAAGTAGGTAACTGTGAGCAAGGCAACTGTTGTGAGTTACATCCAGGAAGGTCAGTTGATGGCTAGGTGGTGCTCAATTAGACTAACGAGAGGTCTGTCCTCGACGATGGAAAGCCATTATACAAGATGAGTGCAGATTCAGGCTCCCAACGATTATATATATATATTTTTTAGTAATGCTTCTATTGTATTTGATGATTTATGATACAGCAGTTGAAGTATGCGCTGTTTCATCTATTGTATTCCGGTTCCCACAGCCTATTGGACTATCATGAGTAATGAATTAAGAAAGTTACAGCTAAAACATCTAAAGAAATGAATACAGAGCACTCTACAATTACTAAGCTTCAGTTACATATTTATGTTTAAACAATTACATATTTATGTTTAAACCGAAACATAAATATGCTTTAATTGGGACTATTATGGAGCTTAGACTAACCGAAAAAGCTTTCTCGCTACTTATCTTCCACGCCTCCCAACACCGGGTGTAAAGGAGCAGCAATAAAGTGTAAACAAGTTGGAGATCTCACACCTACACATAGGAATGGGGTTGGTCGTCACTCAGGTTTCTATTTCTAGCTTCAACAACACTCCCTGTCACACGTACTAAGCTAAATACTTGACGTGAAGCCAAGAGGGTCTTGTGTATTTTTCTACTGCATACGAAACACGAATGATATAGCTGGCCGTCTCAGTGAAATAGAAGCCCCGTTGAAACTCATTTTAAGAACTGAAAACCTAATAACAAAAATAATAATAATAATAATAAATAATAACTAATAATAAAATAATAAAACCTAATAACTGAACTATTAATACTAATACAATCTTTATCAGGTATGACCGAAAGAAATAAAAATAGGGGGTGGGGTCGGCCTATGTGTTCTACTGATTGGCCACAACGTACGAAATCCAACGCCTTAACTTGGCCGAACCCGAGCCTCCCCTCTAACCTAACCGACCGACGCACAGACAACGTGAATTTTGATGAACCGCTATTTTTTCATAGCACGATGCATTTCTTACGTTGGTTACCATAACGCATAGCGGCATATCCACTCATTTCCACTTAGCTATTTGATATTACAAAAAAAGATACAGGGAAGTATGGTCGCAGTCAGTTAAAATTAAAATGTACTTATTCTCATTTTATACAAATAACTAAATTGGGGCTGCTAAATTGACATCCTAAAAAAAAAATCTTATGACCCAAGTTAACATTGCATGGAAAACTTAACAAACACAGCTATTAACATCAAGCTCGGGATTGCAATTTGTGACTCGTACAATAGGATACGAAAACAAAAATCGTAGCATTCACTGATATCAGACACTTACGTGAAATATTACGAATAAAGAGTAATATATTCAAACGAATTGTTGAATCGGCCCCCTTACTAAGAGCATTACGTACAATTTAACTATTTGTAAATATCTATCCTATAGGTAAATTAGACCGGCCTCCAATTATGTAAGATCCGAAAATCGAACCGAGCTTTATCGGCATTTGAATTAAAAGCAATGTATCAAATCTTCGATATGTCGGTGACGGCCTGCATGGTACATGTGACGGAAGTGTCTTAACTGTCAAAACATGTGACAAAAGTGCTTTAATTAACCGTCGAAATATGTGACAAAAGTGCCTAGAAACCTTCAAAACATGTGATGAAAGTGCCTAAACAGGCCAATCTTGCACAGGTATGTTAATTAAGTAATAATTGGAAATAAAAATAGAAAACATAAACTTAAATAAAAACTGAACAAAATGAACCTAAACCAACACCTTGCCAAGCTATGTACAACGACAGGAGAAACCTGCTCCAAACAAGTGTCATTAAGGGAAGAAGGAGGGGAGGAACATGCAAACTCAGTAGTAACTTTTTTTTTTTTTTGGCCAAACTAAATTTTCATAAATATCTTAAATAGTTCACAAGGAAATGCGGTGAAATAGAGCATGGTAATCCTGGGTTATGTATTAGTTAACTATCCATACTTACAATTCATCATTAATGTCGCGAGTAGGGTACTTGAGGCTTCCTCAATGCTCCTCTCACAGTCCAAGCTCGGAGGGTACTAGTCTGCCTTTATTTTTCCTCATAATCGTCAGTTAAGGCGGAGGGCATCTTACTTTGTGCAGAAAGCCAACCGGAGCCGGGTCTATGCTGCGTCGGGGAATTCTGATTGGCTACAACAGGAATGTCAAATGTCACGCTACACCGGGTAACTACCCCTTAATGTGCTTAGCACTCGGGTGTCAGATGCGTCAAAGATGTAATGTCATTCTATGTTGTGCAAAACTTGTTAGCATCGCAATATCATATAACTTTCGATGTGTTTTATCTCGACTCCATCTGAAATTAAATGTCTTACCTTGGATATAATTCAGAAAATATTGTAATCTTCATAATGTTGATATGTTGCAGGTGGGTGTGTTGTGCACTGTGATGTCCGTCATCATCCTCTCCACCTGCAAGATGCTGCTTCAGGTCTTTGCACAATATGCAGGCAGGGAGAAATTACCGGACGAAATATGAGTTCTGCTTTGGATGATTCTTTATGTATATGTGGGGAGAGAAGATCCCCGGTAACATGAACACTGCTGAGAGTGCCTGCTGTTTATGTGTGGTAGAGAAACCCCACAATGTTATCACTGCTGAGACTGCCTGCTGTTTATGTGAGCAGAGAAACCTTCCAAGGCATGTGATCACTGCTGAGAGGAGCTGGCACTAAACGCGGTCAGACATGATAACTGTGCTCCAGGTTACAAGTAAGTCTGTGGTTAACATGAAAACTGACTGCTGCGACTGTCATCTCTGTGTAGCCTCATGTTGACTGGGTAAGTCCATAGGTGTCATTGGAACAGAACGGTGATTGATTCTATGTTAACTGTGGAAGGAATAATCCTTGGTTAACATGCAGCAAAGACATTTCGATGACGTGTACACACTCGTGATATTCAACTACATCAGAACTTGTAATTATGCTTTTATATTCTAGTAGGGGGATGAGTCCCTGTTAGAAATACTTCGGCTCATTTACTATAGGCTCAAGAAATACGTATGCAGAAAGGGGGCACTAGCCGAAAAATTAGCTGGTGGATGAGAAAGCCCATTTATGCAACCGAAGGATAAAGACTCGATACAAAGTGGAGTTTTCAATAACGGATCATGTTATATTTAGTATCAGAACTGAGTCATGTAATGGTTTTAATGTTCGTGGGAGTAACATTTCATTCTTATTTCCAACTAACAAATTTATGCGATGACAGCTACGGAAAAAGAGAATATCAGTATGGTTTTTCTGAGCACAATTCTCTTAATTTTCTGTTAGAATGGAGAAAAAAGTGAATTATTCAATTAAAGGTCAGCTCTTGGTAAATATACCCCCCCCCCCATAATCCCCGGGAACAGAACTCATCACCCCATCCTTCTCCCCCCCCCCCCTTATCCATCCCACGAACCAAACCAATAAACATTCTTTCCTTGCTTAGCTAAATGAATTGTGGAGTTCAGTCCCTGAGCCCATTATGTGCCTCTGTAACTCTTTCCACTACCTCCCACAAGATGGGTATGGGGTGCATAATAAATGAATTAACCTACCCCCCCCCCCTTCCTTGGCTTGGCGCTTTTCCCCTGATAATTCCCTCCCTACCCCCACTACCTCCCAGAAAATAAAATATCCGCCAGGAACGTTCGCGGTGAATTTATTTTCTGATAACAATGATGAGAATGCACAAGTCAGAATGTGTTGGCAACACTGCCTGTTTGTTTATGCACCAGCAACTGTTCATGGCATCAGCTGGTTAATATTGATATAGAACAAAATCATGAACAATTGGAGATGTACGTGATCTATTATTCGAGACGGAATACTAGAGCATGTTATTAATTATTAAATTAAATTGAAATGAAAACAAAGTCATCAGTAACGTTGACTCGGTCTACTCTTCACAATCACACGTTTAAGGTAAACGTCGATAGATTTACAATAAGTCGCGTTTAACCTTCATGATTTATGTTATGATTGCGGCCTTTTAGGATTCAGTTGAAATCGTCAGACTAAGTGAACATAAACTTATGTGATTATGCTGGTAACAAACGGGTCATGCTGGGGGAGTGGCCCAGCTTGGATTTCTTTGTTTTATATATTTCTAAATTATATGTATATATATTTTTTTCTTTGATTGATTGATGAAGATTAAGCCACCCAAAAGGTGGCACGGGCATGAATAGCCCGTAAGTGGTGGCCCTTTTGAGCCATTACCAGTACCAAGAGCTGATACTGGAGATCTGTGGAGGTGCGGCTGCACCCTGCGTGACGGGAGATGTCTCCCGTGTGTGTTTTTTTCTTTGTGATACGTATACTTATATATCTTCAACCGGAGGTGAGGTGAAGCACTTCACTATGGGCCAATAGGTTCACTGCAGCTTACCAATCTCCTATATTTCAGAGATGCCTGGGGCATATTGGATATTTCATCGTGTTATCGAAAACGGCAGAGGATAACAAGGTGTTACTACCCACAGGATGGGTATAGGGTGCATAATAAATGCACTAGGCTACCTGTATCCAGAGGTTGAAATTTAAATTGAAACTGAAATAAGTTTGCTCAAGTAAAATACACACAAAGGGATGAGGTAGCTCAAGCTATTCTCACCCCGTTCAGTACATCGTGTTAATACATACATATACACACATCACAAACAATAAACATATTACCAAACATTCTGAGAGATAAACATCTATATTTCCTAGTATCCAGAGGTGATGTACTGCTTCATCTCCCCTCCGTCTGACACCATCATTCACTAGTGTCATAATCTGCCCATCCCTATCCTATGCCTATGAAAATTCCCAAATTATTTGCCACATATAAGGTTGCTTCTGCCTTACTTGGGAATGTAACTATGAAGGTGCTACGTACAATATATATATGCAATATTTTCCACATTCCCAGATGAGAATGTAGAGCACATTAAGGACCGTTGTACATATAAACATCCAATACTCAAGGCGATGAGTCACAATAACGTGACTGAAGTATTTTTATTTTTCTGGAAACGTTGTTGTCCCTTCATCTTCTAGTGTGTGGATTGGTCAACATCCAATACTCAACTTTGTCACGTTTGTTTATAGTCTTTTTTGGTCAAGAAATTTAGGTTGTGTAGTCCATCTTTATATATATAACTGGCTCTGAACACTTTGAATATATTATTTTGTTATTTATATGTCCATTTTATGAGTAGTTTAATCATACATAAAATAAATAATAATATTGAATTCGTGATTTAGGTAATACATCACACAAGTTGTTACACATGTGGTGATAAGGGTAAGGTAATCATGAGTAAAAAGCACTAATCAATGGTGTAATAATTACTTGAAATAATTAGAGAGAGAGAGAGTTGTCTTATTCGAGGTCTTCACGAGTAAAGTCATAAGTCTTTGTCATAAGAACAGGTACTAACAACAGTACTGTTGTTAACAGTTGAGTCTCCACGCTCGGCACTTCCCCATCGCGAGCAAGTGGTGCTGGAACGTTGCTCACACCAGATGAAAACAGTTGTCCAAACCATACACTAGTAAGTGAAGGGACGACGACGTTTCGGTCCGTCCTCGACCATTCTCAAGTAATAATAATAATAATAATAATAATAATAATAATAATAATAATAATAATAATAATAATAATAATAATAAATGTTTATTCAGGTAAAGTACATACATACAAGAGGTTTTACAAAAATTGATAGATTTATAGATAGAGCTAGTACATACAATGCCTAAAGCCACTATTACGCAAAGCGTAATTCGATTGTGTGAGTATCAAGTCGATTCTCACAATCGACTTGAGAATGGTCCAGGACAGACCGAAACGTCGTCGTCCCTTCACTTTCTAGTATGTGGTTTGGTCAACATATTTCAGCCACGTTATTGTGACTCGTCGTCTGAAAACAGATCTTCTAGCCAGTATGACTATATAGCACTTGGAAGGGGATATGAGGACAAAGTTCTGACATATGTCAGACGTCAAGTTCTGACAGTTTCTTGGCGTTGGGAATGCTCGCGAGAACGGTACTGACTCAGAGCGTGTCAAGCAAGTTCAACACTAATGTATAGTACATCCTGGTTTGTGAATGAACACGTGTCACAGCCTTAACGCCCCCTTCAGAGGTCACTAGGCTATAAAACCAACCAATGGGTATTGCACAATTTATACACTTGTGGCCTTATTTAACAAGTATTGTCATAATAGAAAAGAAGCGTGAGTCTTTTATCTTGTAACTAATTTAACCACCAAGCTTTTCATTCACAACAATCTGCAGTTTCAACAACACTTGACACATAATAATCATGTACCATTGGTGAACAACCCTGCATCATATTTTCTCTAAATCCAATGTATTCAATTATACCAACTCACCACTGAGAAGAATTTAAGCAGTTACCTGACCGACAGTTGGTTCGATCACCCCTTGATTGAACCCAGAGTTCGAATCCGAGCAGGACAAGACGTTTAGGTACGTTTCCGAACGCCTGGTGCACTTGTTTACCAAGCGGTAACTAAATACTGTTAGTTGACTTTTGTGAGTTGAATCCTGGGCAAGGTCAGTCTATGGCTAGGAAGATTTCGACAAGCCTGACAGACTCTCCGTCCCCGACATGGAAAATCATCACTGGTGGTATAAATCAACCCCAAATCTCACTGTATAAAATGCTAATACTTTTCAATACACAGGTCAAACTCTCGCTAGAAGCAGCTTGCTCAAAAATATAACAAAAGCTGCTGTTTCCCCTTAAACAGATCCAATTTTCTATTCATACTTCGCTTAAATAAATTGCATAGAAAACGGAAAAGTTCTTTCATATAACAGATGCCTTTAAGACTCCATTTCCACGTCTTAATATAATTAACGGCCAGTCATAAAAATACAGAACTGTCTCTTCTGCCATTATAGCCGCTATCTGCTATTGTGGAATCGCCATCATAACAGCTAATGCAGTGCTTACGAGCATTCCATGCAGATTAGTTTATATAATCATGAATTAATATGATCAATTATACTAGAATTTTCACAGTTAATTAATGAGTAGATGCATTAATTTTTTTGACGATATTTCGGTAAATACAACGAAGCGTCTCGGTTATATCGAATCACATATTTAGCTCAATAAATATATTTTTGTACTATTCATACATGTTAGATGAATGGTATTGTTTGTGTATAACTCTCCTGATCAGCCATATATATATATACTTGTTTCTCAATCGTAATATGTCATACTTAGCTATAATCTTTTAGCCATAGTGATTTGAAATCAATTTTCTTGGCAGCACCATATATAATTTTCTTCCATATTTACGTAATTTTTTCCAGTTTTTTAATTAATGTCCTAATATATAATTTTTAGCAAATAACTTCATTCATCTTATTTTCTGTCGTGTGTCGTTTGTTGTTAGTTTTCCTTTGCTTGACCGAGTTGGTCTTTGTTGACATCCTCTCCTCCTGCTTAATGTTTTAGCATTGCAATATTTTCTGAAAATTTGACATTTATCTCTGAAATTTGTACAAATGAGCAGGAATCAATTGTTAGTTCTCTTCTATGACTTGTAATGCAAATTTCCTGTGCATAATAAACATATATAAATGAAACCGTTTTGATTCACCGAGTGCTTTGATTACCTTCCATAATGTATTAATAATGATAATAATATTTATTTGCAAGAAGGTACAATGGGTAGGTGAGATTACATATAATTGGTATTTTTATATTCATGCAAAATCACTAACACCCATAGCGTTTTGTGCAGAATTAAACGCATAATTGCATAAATGTTGTGCAAATGGAAATTGTGCTACTCTCATTAACCTAATGAGTTCGGAGCGAGTGTATTATATGGCATAATCTACTCGCTAAAATACAATTAATTCTATAATATAAAGAGCGCGGGTCACCAAAGAAAACACATGGTGGTCTAATACTTATTACTATTTCTTTAATTTTAAAACGTTTGTTGAAGAGGGAAGTTAGTAATTATGAAAAGAATCTGACAAGCCGGGAAGACCATGCATAGCAAGTTAAGGTTGGAAATTTGTTATGAATAAAATTATTTTGTTGTCAGTAATTTTGAGTACTACAAGAGCAGCCAACAGTACCAATACTACAAGACCAGCCACAGTACGAGTACTACAAGACCAGCCAACAGTATCAGTACTACAAGACCAGCCAACAGTATCAGTACTACAAGACCAGCCAACAGTACGAGTACTACAAGACCAGCCAACAGTATCAGTACTACAAGACCAGCCAACAGTATCAGTACTACAAGACCAGCCAACAGTACGAGTACTACAAGACCAGCCAACAGTACGAGTACTACAAGACCAGCCAACAGTATCAGTACTACAAGACCAGCCAACAGTATCAGTACTACAGACCAACAACAGTACGAGTACTACAAGACCAGCCAACAGTACGAGTACTACAAGACCAGCCAACAGTACGAGTACTACAAGACCAGCCAACAGTACGAGTACTACAAGACCAGCCAACAGTACGAGTACTACGAGACCAGCCAACAGTACGAGTACTACAAGACCAGCCAACAGTACGAGTACTACAAGACCAGCCAACAGTACGAGTACTACAAGACCAGCCAACAGTACGAGTACTACAAGACCAGCAAACAGTACGAGTACTACAAGACCAGCCAACAGTACGAGTACTACAAGACCAGCCAACAGTACGAGTACTACAAGACCAGCCAACAGTACGAGTACTACAAGACCAGCCAACAGTACGAGTACTACAAGACCAGCCAACAGTACGAGTACTACAAGACCAGCCAACAGTACGAGTACTACAAGACCAGCCAACAGTACGAGTACTACAAGACCAGCCAACAGTACGAGTACTACAAGACCAGCCAACAGTACGAGTACTACAAGACCAGCCAACAGTACCAGTACTACAAGACCAGCCAACAGTACCAGTACTACAAGACCAGCCAACAGTACGAGTACTACAAGACCAGCCAACAGTACGAGTACTACAAGACCAGCAAACAGTACGAGTACTACAAGACCAGCCAACAGTACGAGTACTACAAGACCAGCCAACAGTACGAGTACTACAAGACCAGCCAACAGTTTAACTTTTAGACATACAATTATTGACTTATATTTATCTGAATTGTTACCGTTGGGCTGATTAATAGCAGAACAGGACTTTGTCCTCCCAGTACCAGAATTCAGAGAACCAACTTATTTATTTATTTAACCACCAGTAAATACATGAAACGTTACGTTGTTTTCAGTTTGTAGATTTTCTGAGTTTAACGGCACCTAATTTAGCAGCAAAGAGAGTGTTGTGTTATTATATCTGCCAGTGTTAAGAATTTCTGTACTTTGTACATTTTGCGCTGTCCAGATGCTATGAGTGTGTTCCTAGAATCCCTCCACAGCCATTAGTATCACCTGCGAGCGTTCGAATAATTCATTTCAAACTATTTTTTCATTACCTAGCAGAAACTTATTTATTTCAATCATATGTTTATTTCAAGTGTTGTAACATGAAGCAAGTGGTTTAATATTATATTACATCTAAATGCTATGCATGCTAGTGGTTGTACAAGAATGTAAACACTCTTGTATATATAAATAAATAAAAATAAATAACATAAAAAACATGAGCTCCACACCAAAAATAAATATATCTTTGATACCCCCCCCCCCTCCCTCCAAGAATCAAACTAGTCAAACAGTCAAAACAGACTCGGGGAGGAATTACCTCTAGAGTCAGACTAAATCTGTGCAAACACTCCATGCAAATAAAAGGTCCCACTTTAAGGAACTCACTTCGTAATGAATTAAAAAATTGTCCAACCAATGCCTTATTGAAAAATGAAACCAAAAAGTACCTAATTTCATCCTCAGTTTCCTTCCTTGTGCTTCAAACTCACGCTGTATCTTGTGCTACACATTTCCCCAATATAATACAGTAATTATTAACTTATAATAATTTTTTATTTACAAGGAGGTACAATGGGTTTGTGAGATTACATAAGATTGGTATTTTTACATTCATGCAAAGCCACTATAACATGCATAGCGTTTCGGGCAGGTCCTTAGTCTAACGTATCAGGTAAGATGAAGAGGTACACTGTAGCAAAATTTTATATCAACATATAACTACAATATATAAATTGACAGAAATGATTACACTGGTGAAGATATATGTCTTAAGTACTAAAATTGGGAAAGTGGGTACTACAAGATACAGTGTGAGTTTGACACACAAGGTAGGAAACTATGAGGATGAATTTACAGTAGGTACTTTTTGGTTTTACTTTTGAATAAGGCGTGGGTTCAACAATTTTTTAATTCATTAGGGATTGAGTTCCATAGACTGGGTCCTTTTAAAAAATAAAAATAATAAAATAAAATGTTTATTCAGGTAAGGTACATGCATACAAGAGATTTTACATAATTTGATCGATGTATAGATGGAGCTAGTATATACAATGCCTAAAGCCACTATTACGCAAAGCGTTTACTGATATGCATAGAGTGTCTGCGCTTCATGTTCCATATTAGTATTTAATTATTATACAAGCGTAATCACCTCTGTCAATTTATATTGTAGTTATATGTTGATATAAAATTTTGCTACAGTACCTTTGAACTACTTATGAAAATAATCAACATTATTATATGTACAATATATCTTTATTATAAACATATAAAATAGCAAACCATCCATTAAGCTTCACTACTACTAAAAAGAAATAATAATTATTCTCTTTACATATAAATACAAACGATAAACACATTTCCCAATGTTAAAAAACTAAATCATGAATATTTGAATGCAATACTGAAATTATCAGATATATCACATGCAGAAATATATTCAGAGGGGAAACAATTAATCCATTAAGATGCTTCTTGTATAAAAACATGCAAAAAAAACTAAAGCAGTTAAGGAAACAATATACAAATTTATCTTCGGTATAAACACACAAAATTCTATTGTAGTACAGTACAGTACAGTAAAGTATACAGAAATATTGTTGGAAAATAAAAAGTACAACAAATTTAGTTCATGAAAGCTTTAGATACTTAAATCCAGCTGCCGTGAAAACTTTAGATACTTAAATCCAGCTGCCGTGAAAGCTTTAGATACTTAAATCCAGCTGCCGTGAAAGCTTTAGATACTTAAATCCAGCTGCCATAAAAGCTTTAGATACTTAAATCCAGCTGCCGTGAAAACTTTAGATACTTAAATCCAGCTGCCGTGAAAACTTTAGATACTTAAATCCAGCTGCCGTGAAAGCTTTAGATACTTAAATCCAGCTGCCGTGAAAGCTTTAGATACTTAAATCCAGCTGCCATAAAAGCTTTAGATACTTAAATCCAGCTGCCGTGAAAACTTTAGATACTGTACTTAAATCCAGCTGCCGTGAAAACTTTAGATACTTAAATCCAGCTGCCGTGAAAGCTTTAGATACTTAAATCCAGCTGCCGTGAAAGCTTTAGATACTTAAATCCAGCTGCCATGAAAGCTTTAGATACTTAAATCTAGCTGCCGTGCGGCCCTCGGCTAAGATGTGGCACCTTCTTACTACTAACGACTGCATATAATGTATTTGTGTCTGAACCATTAGGGAAGAACATTTGGGCAAGAAGCAACAGAGATGAACACGCTGCATACTATATTTTCATTTTAGTGGAGTTATTTAAAGTAATGCATTCTGAACATTGCAGTGTACACCTGCATTTAGGCAACTTCGTTGTTAACACTAGGCATCTAAATTCACAGTTTTTAATTAGTAATAAAAAGTATATTATTCATCAAATGAGTGAAGAATGATTGAAAATAATAAATACCACACATTTGAAGGTAAATAATAATTTATTACTGATAGAACATAACACAACGAAATTTTGCATGCATTCCATATTTACCAAAAATTATCAGTTTAAGTGAAGAACACAGAACAATAAATTATTCTGTACTTTATACAAGCTTAAACTTTTGAACAAAGATTATTATGTAGAACACAATATATATATATATAGTTAATTGTTTCCCGTAAGAGTTCCCTTTTGAGCTGAAACGACCAGTACATATACTGTAATAATTAATTAGGATTATAAAATAATAAGTTTTATTATTACCGTAATTAATCTAATTAATCAGTTTTGATCTGGAAACTACTTCTGCCGTAATGTATGATAACATGACAGCATACGTAAGTAATTATCAAAAGAAGCCATCAAGCTGAGAAGACTCTGTAACACCAAAAATGTGAAAGCATAATTAGTTATGCTTCCTGTTGCCGGAGACAGGAAGCCTGTACTCAAGCTTATTAATACTCCTACCCTTGGTCAACTATTGACCTTCCATGGGGATGTAACCCACAACAATGTTCTAACTCCTGGTGATCATAAAGGTGCTCAACCCTCTCTTCGGTTCTGGCTGTGAACTGAACTTACGATCCTCGGTTATGAGCTGACGAAGTACAGTAGACCAATGTGCTACAGGACTGTATCAATAACATGCACAAATTGCCCAGTCAATAAAAGTGATACTATATATATATATATATACATACATATATATACTATATATATATTTTGTTTTGTTTCTGCTTCAACTCCATTCAACAGATTTTACAAATAAATTTTTTTTAACTTGTAATTATTTTTCCACTAGAAAAATGTTAATGTTAGCAAAATTGTAGTTTTTTTTAACTATCAATTACTTTGTATAGCTTGACTAGCAATATGAGGTACAATATGCTGAAACAAACTAATCACATTTTATTACATCAAATAACACACGTCCAGAAACTCATTACTTTCTTTTCTTAACCACTTTAGTAAGTGTTTGGCTTTTATTGGATACACTGGCTTCATCTGTACCACTTTTTCTTTTCTTATCATTACCAGATTCAACTAAAGGATTTTCCTTTACCTCTGTATCATCTTTCTGCGAAACACTTGGCTCATCCTCTTTGTTATTTGTCTCAATTTCCTCGCTTTGCATTTTGTCTTCAACTTTTTGACTTTCATCGTTGATTTCCATCTCCTGTTTCTGGAGATCATCTACTTTCGTAATTTTACCGGGTTTCTCAAAGACCTGACTGGGACAGACTACTGGGGCGTGGTGGCGCTTGCCTTCACTCTCTTTGAGTGCTCGCTTGTGTTTGCCAGCGACATGTTTCTTCATGCTATTATATAATTCAGTGCGGTAATCGCAAGATGAACAATGGAACGGATTTTCTTCTGAATGAATGCGCATGTGCATGACCAGTGACGAGTGATTTGAAAAGTGTTTTTTACAAACAGTGCACTGCTGATCAAACTTTGGTCGTCCCCATCGCTTTTTCTGCTTCCTCGCAGTCTGAAATGTTTAAAACAATACTTATGAATAAATTTTGTGACCAGGAGTCCTGGTCGACGACCGGACCGCGGGGACACTAAGCCCCGGAAGCACCTCAAGGTGCTTCCTGGGCTTCCTCTTTAGCAAGCAGCTACTTTGGCAACATCGTGCATCACAAATTGTAGTCACAAAACCACAAAAAAAACAAAGAAAATCGTAAATAAATGCAGAGGGATGTGTGTCGTGCACGATGCAACAACAACACTGGCGTCGGAGGCGTCTGAGAATTTGCGAGAACCCGCGAGACGCAAGGAAGCACCATGTGGTTTTGCTCGTTAATAGAGGTGAAACTCATCAATAGAGACAAATTTGCTGCGAGTGGCTCGTTCGTTACTCGAAATGCCCGTAGATAGAGCCGCTTGTTAATCGAGGTGCCACTGTATTAATTTATAAAGGTTTAGAGTTTTGTGAAGAAATGTTTGTATACCTAGGTTGACATTTTCCAAATTGCCAAGTTCAGTCTCCCAGCTTGTCACCAGCAGCGGCAAAAAAGTTGCTTACTGTATATCTATTTGATATACCAAAAGTTCAATTTAATCAAGATAGAAATGCTCTGCAAATCAAGGGTCCCAAAATGTGGAATGACTTTCCCAATCATGTTAAACAGTTCCTCTCTCAACCAGTCTAAGAGAAACTACTACCTAATCAACTCTGTGCAATCTACCTTACCTCCTAAATGTTAACCTATACTTTGCTATCATTCAAATCAGAAAAATTGCTATTACTATTCAGAATTATCCAGGAAAAATTCAAATCACAAAACACTATTTTAGATTTTTCTTTTCTTGCACTTTTCCATTAGTTTTTATCCCAAAAATGAATGAAAAAATTACACAAAAAGATCAGCAGGCATTACACATTTGTTAACCGATTTAATTTTTTGTTATTTGCCTACCCATCGAAGTGGTCAATGCCAAAACTCTGCTGAACTTTAAAATCCAGCTCGAAAAAATTCATCAGGATGAATGATTGGGGGGGGGGGGGACCTCTGACAAGCTGCCAACATCCTGTCCTCGTCAAGGCCACTAGAGTGTTAATGACCTTCAGGTAAATTCAGGTAAAATTTTGTGTATTAAACTATATTTTTCTTTGTAAAAAATAAAAAAAAAGTCATAATTTTTCAATTTGAAAATATAAATTAGTAATTTTGCTTAATTAATAATAATAATAATAATAATAATAATAATAATAATAATAATAATAATAATGCTAATATGTTAAGACTAAATATCAGAGAAATATACATCTGAAGACATTGTTCTAATTGTGACTTGGGCCCTTTAAGGGAGGATAGTGAGAGAGGAAGAGGGATGGATGGAAGGAGATGAGGATGCACAAAGAGGGAGGCGGGACAGGGAAGGATGGGGGTGTGGAAGCAAGGGGGTTAGAGACGGAAAGTGAGGGAGAATGAGTGACAGAGGCAGATGGACATAATAAGGCATGTACTGTAATGCTGTACCAAGAGCAGATATACTCACACTGGGTTTAACTGGCTGGTCTTGCTCATCTGCATTATCCAGCTGTACGGAGTCACCATTGGAGGTCGTTGGTTTAACGTCAGTATTACTTACTGACAGATCATCTCCGTCATCTCCAGCAGTTTCTCCATCTCCAGCTGTTTCTCCATCTCCAGCAGTTTCACTTGTGCTGGGTTGATTTTTTTCCTCTTTAGCATCAGCATCCAGTTTATCTGTCAATTCCTCTGTTAAATTGGGCAAATCATTTTCTACCTCAGAAGATTTGCCATCTAAGTCTCTGGATATTTCCTTGGCAGTAGTCTGATCATCAGCAAGGGATGAAGACAATTCAGATGGTGTTGATGAATGCTCTTGTGACTGAGCTAATATTGCATTTTGGTTATTTTCTGATGGCTGAAGATCTGATGACTGATCTGATTTTCTGATGACTGTAGATGTATTTTCTGATGACTGTAGCAATCCTTTCACCTCTGAGTGTGAGTCTGGTGGGTGAGTTGCAATTGTATTTCCTGTATTCTCTGAAAGTTGCAGGCTTTCTAGCTGTGAATTTTCTGAATCTAAGTTATTATGGTTATTTAATATTACGCCAGAATTCAAACAGAATGAATTCTGTATTACTTCTGCGGCAGTATCTAAAAGTTGAACAGTAATACCGGAGTCAATAATATCAATAGGTTCCTTTCCATTCCACAAGACGGTAGCCTTGGATACCCCTGGTCTATCATCAGTGATTTTACTTACTCTCGAGTAAATAGCCTTACCAGCTAGAGTATTTCTCCTTCCTCTGTTAAAGCCTCTGCCTCTTCCAGTACCAACCTGTGCTGTTGGGTTTTGTTTCACCGAATAATAGCCTCCTCTACTTACAGCGTGTGGCATTTTGTTAAACCTGCCTCTTGAACTGCCAGAATTGAATCTTCTATTGCCTACATTTTCTTGTCTCAATGAAGGTGTACCCTCATGTGCTTGAGCATTACTTGTAATATATTTTCTACCATGTCCTCCTCTCAGACCCGAAGGCACACGACCTCTTTTTGAACCAGTGTTGTCACCGGCATAATAGCTTCTGTTAGTAGGGGAAGGTCCACTTGCAGCTTGCTTCTGCTGATTTGGGAAAGAATTTTGAGAAGTTTTACTAACTGATGTTGGTGAAAACTTTGAAGGAAATGAATCAATTTCAATTATATCTGGATCTGTAATTGGTGATTGTGATGGAACCTCAGTTGTGGTTGTTTTATTGAAATGTCTGCTGTCTTTAGGTGTAGAAACTTTGTTAGATGACTTTATAGGTGTTAATGAAATAGAACTACTGGAAAAAAGCCATGCAGGGATATCCAGTAAGGTATTGACACTACTTGAACTAATCACTGTTCCAAATTTCTTGAGTTTCTTCATTAGGCTTTGATTTTCACCATCCTCCTCGACAACTTCCTTTTGCTTCTCTTGTGAGCTTTCATTTGACTTTTTACAACAACAACAATGAGTTTTTTCCTCCTCATTTCTTTTATCCAAAGGTTCACTGCTAACCCTTGCCTTACCTTCACCGTTACGTGTCATCTTATCAGTATAGTCACCGATGGTCGCTTTACACTTTTTCTCATCTAACATCACCAGTGAAAGAGAAGGCGGAAGACGAGCTTTGAGTACTGACAAATCATTATGTTTGGAATCATGCGAATTATCTGTATTAGGACTACTGTGTGGGCAGCTGGTCAGGCCCAACACACTTCGATCCTGCTTCGGGAATTTTGTAGTCTTAAGAGAATGTGAGGCATCACTTGACCTTTCTGTACCACTACTACTATCTAGGGATTTGTTCTGAATCAACAAATTTTGTTCCAATTTCATGAGTCCTGGAGTTTGCAGATGCTCTATATCTAACTGTTTTGCAGCTTTAAAGAAACTTAAAAGCTGGTTTTCCTTAACAATAGCCAAATTGCCATATATAAAGTCCAGTATACAAGACATTATATATGGATCCATGTCATTAATCACAACGACACGTGATGATTCATCCACGAAAGACTTCCTGAGAGTGTTGCTGAAGGCGCTTATAATCAAGCGGTGAACATTAAATGTGTGGTTTTGTACCACTATGCTGCCATCAGTCAGATCTTCCTGTAAAATGGAATATCTCTGTTATACTCCTACTATTTAAACCCTTAATTTATTACTCCCATAATCAAATATACAAATTATATATATATATATATATATATATATATATATATATATATATATATATATATATATATATATATATATATATATATATATATATATATATATATATATATATATATATATATATATATATATATATATATATATATATATATATATATATATATATATATATATATATATATATATATATATATATATATATATATATATATATATATATATATATATATATATATATATATATATATATATATATATATATATATATATATATATATATATATATATATATATATATATATATATATATTATATATATATATATATATATATATATATATATATATATATATATATATATATATATATATATATATATATATATATATATATATATATATATATATATATATATATATATATATATATATATATATATATATATAATATATATATATATATATATATATATATATATATATATATATATATATATATATATATATATATATATATATATATATATATATATATATATATATATATATATATATATATATATATATATATATATATATATATATATATATATATATATATATATATATATATATATATATATATATATATATATATATATATATATATATATATATATATATATATATATATATATATATATATATTTTGTAGACTGTATATTAAAAAACTTAACAAAGAATTGTTATCTCTTAATAACATTTCAGATTAGAAGCATATTAGAGAATCAAGTGCAGTAGTGTATTGTATCAAATCCACCAATCACTGAAAGTTGCATAAAAAGTGAGAGCTGCAGTAAGAACAAAAAATAACCAAACCCTAGGAATAATTAAGCATACCTTTGATTTTAAGGAAAATTAGACAGTAGTTACTCAATTGTATAACTGTCTGGTGTGCCCCTCACTTGGATTATTGTATTAAACTATGCCGACCTTATCTTCAGAAAGACATAGCTTCTTCTGAGAGTTCAAAACCAGGCAAAAAAATCACTCTGGAACTCAGTCAACTTTCATACCAGGTATGGTTGAGGGCCACAGGGCTAATACTGTAACACTGCAAACCAGAGATGACAGGGCTGATGTCATCAAAACTTTTAAAATACTGGACAATTTGGAGGATATTGATCCAGACAACTTCTTGAAAAGGTCAGATGTAACACAAACAAGGAGCAATGGTTTCATGCTCAACAAGCCACACTGTAGGAGAGAAAACCCATGGAACTACCTACCCACCAAAGTTGTAAATGCCGAAACACTGCTGAATTTTAAAATTCAGTCTGAAAAATCATCCGGACGAATGAGGGAACCTTCGATTAAGAACTGGCTTACATTTCTTCTTGAAGCCACTAGAGAAATTGTGGCCCCTCAGGTAAATTCTATTTGATAACCCCAAAATTATGTTAAACAGTGGCTTTATTCACTGCAAGTTTGGCAAGGGATCCAACTTTTATCATGTTCTTGCAGCTCAGTGTGCAGGGGATCAACAACAGTCTGACTGTGACCCTTCATTAAGAATACATATACAGTACTGTATATCTATGTTTGGCTTTGGAGACAAGCATATTAGAACTTCAGTGTACATAATTTGCAACATTTCTTAAAAATTTTCATCTTAAATAAGTTACATTATGTCTCATGTTATTCAGCATTACTAAAAAAAAATGTACTGTACTAATTAATACATTACTGTACATTACATTACTGTACTGTACATTAATGTTTTTCCTGCCCGAAACGCTGTAAGTAATAGTGGCTTTAGGCATTGTATGTACTAGCTCCATGTATAAATAGATCAAATTATGTAAAATCTCTTGTATGTATGTACCTTACCTGAATAAACATTTTATTTTATTTTATTTTTATTTTATTTTAATTAAAACATTCACAGCAATCTTAAGATCTGCCCAAAATACTACACATTAGTTGCTTTATAAAAAACCAGTGTTGAATGTAATGAAATGCCATTTTCTGGGTGAGACCCGGAGGCTCCCCAGAGCTATACTGGGCTGATGTGTATATAATAGACCGTGGCAAAAGTCAATGGATGTAGCTCTTAGCCTACCAGGACCATGTGCGAGAACCTGGCATCCTCAGAGAGGCACAAGGAGAAATGGCCTATAGACACTCCCTGTGTAATTGGAAGCATCTATATCTGCCATCTACCAAGTTAGGCAGGAATCAACAACAAACTACAGCTGGTGAAAAATTGCTAATTGAAAGCCAAACGAGTAAGCAGAACTTCCCAATCAGAAAACAACCAAACAAGCATAACGTCACCACAGCCACCGCGCCATTGTCTGCGCAACCTCTCCCTCCCCGGGAGGGGGAAGGAGGGGTCCCAGACGTCCAGTGCCGGCTACGTACCCAACCCCAGTTCTGAGGCTGTTGTGTTGGCTGGTGGTCAATTGACTCTGGCTCCAATCCTTGAGCAGTGCTATACCTTGTGGTGTTGTGTTGTAATGCGGTGGTGTGAGAGTCAAGAGTACAGGGGCTGCATATGCCTAAGGATACTCTCCCTAGGTGCCCTATTAGTACTGCCCTAGTAGTTTAGGGTTATCTTCCATAAGCCATTCAGGAACTACCTCTGGAGGGTTCTTTTGCTGCTCGGTGATTGCCTGCCCTTGGGGTCAGCTGGGGTTGTCTTGAGATGATTTCGGGGCTTAGTGTCCCCATGGTCCGGATCTCAACCAGGCCTCCTTTTTGTTACACACCCCCCAGGAAGCAGTCCATAGCAGTTGTCTAACTCCCAGTTACCTATTTACTGCTAGGTGAACAGGCACATCAGGGTGAAAGAAACTGTGCCCATTTGTTTCTGCCTCCACTGGGGATCGAACCCGGAACCTCAGGACTACGAATCCGAAACGCTGTCCACTCAGCGCTGCCCGTGTTTGACCTTGGGTACAATTTAGTGTCGTTGCTGACTGGGGCACAAGATACTGTGCAGCTGTCTCATATACGCATAATGGCCGGTTCTGTTTCCCCTGGAGACGTTGTGTTTTTTTTTTGTTTTTTTTTTTTTAGCTGGTGGGGGTCTGCCTTGTGTGGCTATAGGTCCACTTCTATTTTTGGTGGCCCTCCTCATCTAGGCCCGTTATTGTACACATTGCAGGGGTTCAGCTTTTAGTTTGAATGCTTGGTAGCTCTGAGATACCGGTTAGCAAGACCTTGCCTGGGCTTCTCTTAGCAGTCAGCTTAAGGGCCCTGGAAACCCACATTGTGGCTCATTGGTCCGATGGAGGAGTCCTCTGAGTCCCACCTCGCTCTGTGCGAGTGTGAAGGTGGCTCTGTACCCTTTGGCACAGGGTGACGTTCACTGCCTTTTTCTCCACCATGCCGCCTGTGTGGTCACTGACACCTTTGACTCGGGGAACTGAGGGGGTCTCTCCAAAGAAAAAATAGCAAATGCCTACTATGAAATCACTGTAACCTTTGATATTTTTTTAAATAAAATATTATTATTAATATTAAAGATTATATACAAACAGCTGTTTAATTCCAACCTTGTAACATTTATTTATTTATTTCTGTATTTATATACAGGACAAGAAGATACATTACCTGCATGATGAGGTTCTGGGAGTTGTTCTACTCCCCAAGCCCAACCTGAGGCCAGGCTTGACTTGTGAGAGTTTAGTCCACCAGGCTGTTGCTTGGAGCAGCCTGCAAGCCCATACCCACCAAAGCCCGATTGGTACAGCATGCCTTGAAGAAAACTATCTAGTTTTCTCTTGAAGATGTCCACAGTTGTTCAGGTAATATTTCTTATGCTCGCTGGGAGGATGTTGAACAACCGTGGACCTCTGACGTTTATAGTGTTCTCTGATTGTGCCTTTATGGCACCCCTGCTCTTCACCAGTTCTATTCTGCTTTTTCTTCCATATCGTTCACTCCTGTATGTTGTTATTTTACTGTGTAGATTTGGGACCTGGCCCTCCAGTATTTTCCATGTACAGTATATATATTATCTGATATCTCTCTCGTCTCCTTTCTAGTGAGTACATTTGGAGAGCTTTGAGACGATCCCAATAATTTAGATACTGGTACTTTATTGCATCTATGTATGCTGTATATGTTCTCTGTATTCCCTCTATTTCAGCAATCCTTTCTGCTCTGAAGGGGGAAGTGAATACTGAGCAGTACTCTAGACGGGACAGCACAAGTGATTTGAATAATACAACCATTGTGATGGGATCCCTAGATTTGAAAGTTCTCTTAATCCATCCTATCATTTTTCTGGCTGACGCATTATTTGCTCGGTTATGCTCCCTAAACGTTAGGTCATCAGACATCATTATTCCCAAATCCTTTACATGCTGTTTTCCTACTATGGGCAGATTTGATTGTATTTTGTACCCTGTATTATGTTGACAAATATACATTGACATTGGGTTGAGGGTACTGCACATAACATTGGTATTCTTACATTCTCATAAACTCATTAACATGCATAGCATTTTGGCCAGGTCCTTAATCTCATAAAAAGTGAAAGTATTAATAGGCACATTGTACTAGAATTTGAGTTCAACATAACATAATATAGTAGCAAAATTTGAGTTTATTATAATAACTACAATTTAAATTAAATAAATAAAAAATAAAATAAAATGTTTATTCAGGTAAGGTACATACACACAAGAGATTTTACATAAATTGATCGATTTATAGATAGAGCTAGTACATACAATGTCTAAAGCCACTATGACGCAAAGCGTTTCGGGCAGGAAAAACATTAATGACTAAAAACTTAATACTAATTGAGTATAAAGAATAAAATGTGTTGAGAACAAATAAAAAAAAGATAAAAAGGGGGGAAACATGGCTGAAAAAGCAGCACAAATACAATTAAGTCGACAAACAGCGTTGTTTAAGAAAACAGACGTGGGTTGACAATAGAGGGGTAAGGTAGGTTACAGGGAATTTATTAGGTAGTGCTTCGTTTTTATCTTAAACTGGTTGAGAGAGAATTGCTAGGTAAGAATTGATGGGAGTGATTACACAGGTGAAGTTGGGAATCTTAAATACTCAAATTAGTGAAGCAGGTAGCACAATAATAATAAAATTAATAACAATAATTTATTCACAAGAAGGTATAACTGGTTGGTGAGATTACATAAGAATGATATTTGTATATTCTTGCAAAGCCACTAACACGCATCAGATCTCAGTAAAGTGCCACTAATGCAGTGTTAGTTTACTTGATCTATTCAGTATTCGATGAAAATTAATTCCCAATTATCCACTTCATTACCCTCTTAAAAAAAAAAATTTATATTTCAACTCACAAAAACCCTCCTACTTAAATATTCATCAAAATGCTTCACATGTACTTAAGCCTAAATTATTTACTGATGGCAGTACCTGTAGTACAATAGTTTGTCTTCAGATTACAACTGAGAGAACTGGGATTAATCCCCAGGTGGGACAGAAACAGTTTGGCACGTTTCCTTTCACCTGATGCCTTTTGTTTACCTAGCAGTAAATATGTGCCAGGAAGTTAGCCAACTGTTATGGGTTGTATCTTGGGAAAGCCAGAAGTTTGACCTTGGGGGGGATCCTTGATACAAGCCTAAGTACAGGCTTCTTGTTCTCGTTAAAGGGAATTATTATTATTATTATTAAAACATAAAATTCTCAGGAGAGTTAACAGGTTTCCATCAGTGAACAGTAATCTGTTCAAGGACAGATTATTTGGAATAGATGGTACACAACCACTGATGGAAACTGTACACGAACAAGAGCACACTGATGGAAACTGCAATCTTGTTCAAGACCTTTTGTGCTCTCTGTTATCTGAACGATTACAGAGGGCACTACTGCAATTAAAATTGTAAACTTACATTTTTACGAGATGCACGAATGGCAGAGAGCAGATGCCCCTCGTATTCTGGCACCGACACTTGTACAATTCGATCTTGGCATTCTTCCTTTTTCAAATGGCCACTACTATCTAGGGAGCTCCAATCATCTAGAAATGGGTCAGAGTTGGTGGAGGTATTTTGCGTTATCTCATTCTGCGTTGATAAGGAGTCCGATTTTGGTTCTGAAGCCATTTTCATATACCTGTCTTGTAAGAAGTTGACTAAGTAACTATTTTGCACATAGGGGTTGAAAATCCTAAAAATATTGTATCTTAAATTAAACTCATTAATACTTACCAAGCATCAACCAGCATGACCATTGTAAATTAATCTTCCAGACATGCAGCACCCTCACTGAAATCTTTAAAAAGATAAACATTCTATTTTTGCAGACATTTTCCTGTGCTACATCTACAAAACCCTATAATGCAATGTTAAGAGCCCTGTAGTGCAGTGGTTTACATTGTTGACTCACAACTTAGGGTCCTGGATTTAGCAGTTCTCGTGGCGAAGTAGTAACACACTTGCCTGCCGTTTCGCGAGCGTTTTGGCTTAGGTTCGTATCCTGGCCGGGGAGGATTTACTGGGGGCCAATCTTTAGTTGTAGCCTCTGTTCACCCAACATTAAAATGAGTACCTGGATGTTAAATTATTTTTCACGTCGTATTCCGGGAAAAATTAGGATTAAGGACTTGCCCGAAACACTATGCATGCTAGTGGCTGTACAAGAATGTAAGAACTCTTGTATACTATATACTATATACGATAATGATAATAATAATAATAATAATAATAATAATAATAATAATAATAATAATAATAATAATAATAATAATAATATTTTATTTAGGAAAAGTACATACATAGATGCAGTTACAAACATTCTGATTATTTATAGGCAGAGCTAGTACATACAAATACCTAAAGCCACTAATACGCATAGCGTTTCGGGCAAAGTGTGGAAGAAAAAAACTTAGAATAAAACTTAATAGTAATTGAGCTTAAAGTATAAATTCGATTGAAAGAAAAAATAAAAGATAAAAAAGAGGGGAACATGGTACAAAATAGCCAATAAACAAGTTGGTCAACAAACAGCATTGTTTAAAAATAGTAAGACATGGGTTGACATTTAGGGGGTAAGGTAGGTTACATGGAGTTAATTAGATAGTACTAAGTTTTCATCTTGTGCAGTTTTCATCCTTTCATCTTTCATCTCAAAAAGAAAACAACATGATGTGACAATGCACACTGAAGCAATTATACACAGCACCTTGGAACAGAATCAAACAAAATTCTGCATTCCTATATCCCTCTTAATATGTAACAAATAAGCCCTTGTGTCTCTGAACTCGCCTATTGCCCATTTTTTTAATTTTTATAGAAACCGTTAAAGGATAAACTTTACTTACAAATGAAGTCTGCTTTTATCTTATACAGTACTGTATAAACCAAAAAATACCTAATTTCATCCTCATAGTTTCCTTTCTTGAGCTTCAAACTCCAATGGTATCTTGTAGTACCCACTTCCCCAATATTAATACGGTACTTAAGATATGCTGTATCTTTACCAGTGTAATCACCTCTGTCAATTTATATTGTAGTTATTTGTTGATATAAAACCATGCTACAATGTACCTTTTCATCTTACCTGATATGTTAACTAATGCCAGCGCTTATTCACTCAGTTACCTATATTTCACCTTTGGTATCTGTGCCTGGGGATCCACCATCCTTTAATTACTTAACAAAAATTAGCAAATAGAACAATCATCACAAATTTCAGTCCCAGACACCACTCTGCTCCCTTACTGAAATCCTTGAACATGTTAAATATTTATCAAGTATCTGCACATACTCTCAATTATTCTCTATATCTATAAAACTCTGAATTGCAATGCCAATCCTGGTCTTCAGCGCTTCCTAGAAGGCTGTAATAGAACTCACAGTCGCCACACAAGAAAACAAGTATCTATAAATGAATAATAATAAATAAACGTTTATTTAGATAAGGTACATACATACAAGAGATTTTACAAAGATTGATCGATTTATACATAGAGCTAGTACATACAATGCCTAAAGCCACTAATACGCAAAGCGTTTCGGGCATGAAAAACATTAATGACTAAAGCTTAATACTAATTGAGTATAAAGAATAAAATGTGTTGAGAACAAATAAAAACAAAGATAAAAAAGGGGGGGAACATGGCTGAAAAAGCAGCACAAATACAATTAGGACGACAAACAGCGTTGTTTAAAAAAAAAACAGACTTGGGTTGACAATAGAGGGGTAAGGTAGGTTACAGGGAATTTATTAGGTAGTGCTTTTTTTTATCTTAAACTGGTTGAGAGAGGTACAGTCTTTAACATGGTTGGGAAGGTCATTCCACATTCTGGGTCCCTTGATTTGTAGAGCATTTCTAGTTTGATAAAGTCGTACTCTAGGAATATCAAAACTGTATTTATTTCTGGTGTGGTGCTCATGGGTTCTGTTACAACCTTCAATGAAGCTTTTGAGGTCAGGATTGGCATTACAGTTTAGTATTTTATATATGTATAATACACATGAGAGAATGTGCATTGACTTAATATCTAACATATTCAGAGATTTGAGTAGGGGTACCGAGTGATGTCTGGGGCCAGAGTTGAATATTGTCCTAATAGCAGCTTTGTGCATCTCGAGTTCATCTCTTTGATATTCCTAGAGTGAGATTCGACCAAAGAAGAAATGTAATGTAAATCAAGGGACCTAAATTGTAGAATGACCTCCCAAATGTAATTAAAAACTGTACATCTCCCAACCAGTTTCAATGAGACTAAGATATATTTACTTAATATCATGTAATTATTATCCTATAATGAATTCCATGTAACTAGTTTCACTCACATTTCCCCTTATAATAAGTTATTTTTGTGTTACTCTTTTCTTAGATTGTTATTTACTGAGTACAGTATTATGTACTCTCTGCATTTATTGTCATCTAATTTGATATATTTCTTTGTTAAAGTGTTTACTCATGTCCTTTATGTTCCTGGTTCATGTTTAGTGTTGGCCCCAATGACCTTAAATTACTACAGTATATTTACTATACTGTTCTATACATACTTGCTACTATGTTCTGTTATGCTCCAAACAAAATATTATGAGAAAGATTTCAGTTGCTTTTTTAAACTACATCCTGTATTTCTATTCTGTCATTAATGTAAATAAGTTCCTGTACTATTGCTACAACTATTGACTCCATATTGTAGCTTCCTACTTCCATATCCTTAAACTGTAGTTTCCTACCTTGCACTTCAAACTTCCACTGTATCTTGTACTACCCACTTCCCCAAGCACTACCACTACAGGAGCTACACAATCTACAAAGCCACTATTACACAAAGCGTTTCGGGCAAAAACATAAAATAAAGACTAAAAAGTTGAACAAAGGTGTGAGGGATAAAACACTTAATACTACAGAAGAAATAAGCTAACATAATAAGAACATTCATGGAAAATAAAAAATTAATGCAAAAAAGGTGACACTTAAGGATGACAGGCATAAACTATTACAATGATAATATAATAATAATAATATTTTATTTACAAAAAGGTACAACAGGTTAGTGAGATTACATAAGATTGGTACAGTATTTTTACACTCTTGCAAAAGCCACTAACACGCATAGCGTTTCGGGCAGGTCCTTAATCTAACATATCAGGTAAGATGAAAAGGTACATTGTAGCAAGGCTTTATATCAACAAATAACTACAATATAAATTGATAGAGGTGATTACAGTGGTAAAGATATACTGTACTGCTATGTTCATTCTTTGTACACACATTCTTTTGAATAAACAGTGTATTGTAAAGTGGGATTGTGGTGAAGGGTAAGGAAGGTGGTGAAGGGGAGGGAAGGTAGTGAAGGATGAGTTTACCAGAATAAACATTTTAATTTGATTTGATTTGTGGGATTGTGGTGAAGGGTAGGGAAGGTGGTGAAGATGGTTACAGTGATAGTTTGCAGTGAAGAGAGTTACAGTGATGATGCCCATATACTGTGTGGATAGTTACAATGTTGAAGGTTTTATGTAGTGTGAGATAATTAGTGATGAAGATTATGTGTAGACCAGACCACACACTAGAAGGTGAAGGGACGGCAACATTTCGGTCCGTCCTGGACCATTCTCAAGTCGATAATCTTGAGAATGGTCCAGGATGGACCGAAACGTCATCGTCCCTTCACCTTCTAGTGTGTGGTCTGGTCAACATAATTTAGCCACGTTATTGTGACTCATCGCTTGCAAGACTATGTGTAGTTAGGATTTGTTACTGTAAGCCAGACTTCACTTCCCCCAAAGTAACTGTTAAGGTAATCACCCATTTTTAGGGTTTCCCATTGTTAGGGTCAGAAAGCCTGTTGTGCTTATAAAAGTTCACAGGTCTTGGCCAATGACTGACCAGAATGCAACCCACAACAGTTGCCTAATTATCAGGTACCAATTAGGTAATTGGGGTACCTGATAATTAGGCAATTATCTCTAGGTAAACAAAGACATCAGCTGCACGCTAAGTGAAACATGCCCAATACATTATCTTGTCATTTCTGGGTATTCATATGCTCCCAATATCTCATCCTGTCTGGGAATTCACATGCCCCAATATCTCATCTTGTTTGGGAATTCACATATCCCAATATCTCATCCTGTCTGGGTATTCACATACTCCAATATCTCATCTTGTCTTGGAATTCACATATCTCAATATCTCATTCTGTCTGGGTATTCACATACCCCAATATCTCAACCTGTCTGGGTATTCACATGCCCCAATATCTCATCCTGTCTGTGTATTCACATGCTCCAATATCTAATCCTGTCTGGGTATTCACATGCCCCAATATCTCATCCTGTATGGGTATTCACATGCCCCAATATCTCAACCTGTTTGAGTATTCACATGCCCCAATATCTCAACCTGTTTGGGTATTCACATGCCCCAATATCTCAACCTGTCTGGGTATTCACATGCCCCAATATCTCAACCTGTCTGGGTATTCACATGCCCCAATATCTCATCCTGTCTGGGTATTCACATGCCCCAATATCTCATCCTGTCTGGGAATTCAAACCAGGACCTTTAGTTGTGAACAAGCTACATCATGGAGAACCATGCATTCAGTATATTGTATAGTGCTTACCCGTTCTTATGAAGAACATTACCTTCATAAGGCCAGCTGTATCACCAGTGCTAAAAATATTACCTTCAAGGCCAGCTACTTAACTAACTCATCAATGATGTAACTTGTTTTGCTAGACAAATATAATGGGGTTTAGTTTCAGAGTCCATCATGTGCCTCTTGTAACATTTTTTCCTACCCCCTATAGGATGGATATTGGGTCCACTACTCCTTGCAGTATAGGTATTGAGTCACTACTATTGACATGATACCACTTACAGTATGGGTATTGGGTCCACTACTACTTACATGATGGATATTGGGTCCACTACTCCTTGCAGTATAGGTATTGAGTCACTACTATTGACATGACACCACTTACAGTATGGGTATTGGGTCCACTACTACTTACATGATGGATATTGGGTCTACTATTACTTACATGATAGATATTGGGCCCCACTACCACTTACAGTTGAGGTGTTTGTTGCATTCACTACCAATCATGAGATGGGTATAGGGTCCACCTCAGTGAACTGTAGTGGACCTCAAATCCATCCTGTGATTGGTAATGGTTCAATACCCATCATGTGAGTGGTAGTGGGTTCAATACCCGTCATGTGAGTGGTAGTGGGTTCAATATCCATCCTGAGTGGTAATGGGACCAATACCCATCCTGTGAGTGGCAGTGGGCCCAATACCCATCATGTGAGTGGTAGTGGGCCCAATATCCACCCCGTGAGTGGTAGTGGGCCCGATACTCAACTTGTGAGTGGCAGTGGGTCCAATACCCCTCCTGTGAGTGGTAGTGGGCCCAATACCCCTCCTGTGAGTGGTAGTGGGCCCAATACCCCTCCTGTGAGTGGTAGTGGGCCCAATACCCCTCCTGTGAGTGGCAGTGGGCCCAATACCCATCATGTGAGTGGTAGTGGGCCCAATATCCACCCCGTGAGTGGTAGTGGGCCCAATACTCATCATGTGAGTGGTAGTGGGCCCAATACATATCCCGTGAGTGGTAGTGGGCCCTATACCCACCCCGTGAGTGGTAGTGGGCCCAATACCCACCCTGTGAGTGGTAGTGGGCCCAATACCCATCCTGTGAGTGGTAGTGGCCCCAATACCCATCCTGTGAGTGGCAGTGGGCCCAATATACCCTCCTCCCTGTGAGCAGTTCGTCCTACCACAAGCATGCCCATACAATGCTAACAGGAAACAGAAAGAGTTTCAAACTTAACAGACCACAGTGTAAGACAGGGGGGGGGACAAAAAAAATAGATAGAAAAAGGAGGCAGCAGCTGAATATAACCTCTTATTCCACCTTCGAGACTCGTGGTGGGCCGCTGCTATCAGCCATGGCGGAGATAAGACAGGTCCGTGCAAGACTCCGGCCGGCATGCATGCTCTTCACCTCCCAGATACAACCCAGCCAGCCATGACACACAACCCAGACAACCCATAACACCCAACGCACGTCACGGGGAGACGTTTATATACAGTACTTACTAAGAGCATGCGAGTGCTGGGATAGTGAAGGAGAGGTGATTTGTAGGGGACCCGCTCGGGCCTGGCCGTCGCCACTAATGTCCACCTTCAGCTCCGGACGGGAGCAAGAGCCTCCCAACTGAACAAATGTCAAAAATACTCTAATATTTATTAACATATACATGATGTAGCTATGCCAGTATTGAGGATCTATTGCAGAGTTCATTTGTGCGACTTTTTGATCTTTATGTTGAATGTTGGAAGGTTAGGAGACCGCCCGTTGGGATTAGTAGGCTGCTTCATCACAGCAAATCCTTGTAACGATGTGGACTAGCGTATATGTGTATATATATATATATATATATATATATATATATATATATATATATATATATATATATATATATATATATATATATATATATATATATATATATATATGCTATACTAGGCCTATGAATACTTAAGTTTGAATTGCACTTCATTTTTGATGGGCTATAAAGTGAATAGTACAAAATTCTACTATCTATGTCCATTATATCAATATATGTACGACGGTCCACAGAGTTAAAAAATGTACTATTGTCATTTACATTTGGCAACAGTTTTATCAAGGCTGCGCAGTCGTTATAATTTCCAGTTGTCGGGGGGGGGGGGGTTATTATCAAGGGAAAGCGCCAAGTCTTTACGACTATATAGCACTGGGGAGGGGCCAGGATAAGGATTTGGGATGGGACGGTGGGGAAGGAATGCATGGTGCCCAACCACTTGGACGGTCGGGGATTGAGCGCCAACCTGCATGAAGCGAGACCGTCGCTCTACCGTCCAATCCAAGTGGTAGGTGCCAGTTGTCGGGGCCAAAAAGCCTGTACTTATTAAGCTTATCAAGGGCCTCTCTAGGCGAGCTACTAACCTTTGATGGAACCCAAAACAACTGCCAAATTCCCGGGCACCTGTTATACTGCTAGGTGAACAGCGCATTAGGTGAAAGGAAACGTGCCCAACCGCTTCTGTCCTGCCCGAGGATTGAACCTAGGTTAATTTATTATGCACCCCATACCCATCCTCTGGCCGATAATGGGAAAGGTTAACAGACGCACATAATTGGGCTCAGAAATCAAACCCCCAAATTAATTAAGCTTTGTAAGTTAGTTTTGATAAGTTAGATAAGTTAGATAGTTTAATATATATTTATCTTTTTATAGCATAACTAAGTAGGATACCCGGCTGTACCCCCTTTCCACCAAAGAAGCAAATAAAAGATCAGCCCAAGTTTCGTCTTGATGCACAACTGAGCGTCTTAACCCATAATGATGCTCTTTCCACAGAGGGAAGCTCTCTCTCAAACCATATACGTACACTGATGGTCTTACACCGCCCCACGGGTGCAGCTGGAAGTGCAGTTGTCCTGTCAATGGGTGACGGTGTGTATTTTGAGTGAGGAGTCCGTATAAACAACTGGGGCCTCTCTCTACCCTTCAATCTGAACTATTTGCCTTATTTCTTGCACTTAAATACTGTATATACAAGTCTCCAAAACTAACACATTAATTGTAATTGATTCTGTATCATCGTTAATTGCGCTCAACTCTTTTAAACACAATTGTAACATGCTCGCGTCTAAAACTAGGTACTAATACAACCAAATTATTAATGATGGATACTTCAAGTGGATTCCATATCATGTTGGCCTCCGATTGCATGATAGAGCTGATCAGTTAGCCTGATCTGCCTTCAGAGAGGGAGCAGATGGCAATCCAAAGGCAGTCCAAATCTTGGATTGCCAATAAGCAGTCTAAGAATAATAATACACAAACAACTTAAACAAAACCATGCTCGTGTTTACAATAAGCATGCAGTCAAGATTTAGGGGGTAGAAATAGCCTAAGTTACTCTATCCCTTTGAGATGTAATTTTTTTCTTGTCTCAATAAACATTAAGATGTATTTCCTTCCATCAGATATATATTTAAACCCAAGGGCCCACCAAAGCTGTCCTATAGCCATGTAAGGAGGAAAACTGTAGTGGCTTTAGGCATTGTATGTACTAGCTCTATCTATAAAGCCAACAAACTTTGAAAATCTCTTTATGTAGTACCTTTGCCTAAATAAAAATTATTATTATTATTATTATTATTAAAAACAACTGAAAGAGGCCATGTGATAAGGTTGAAGAGACAAGATGAAATATTCACGGAAAACGACAAGGTTGTGAAGAACTCAACAAAAGATTTCAGGATATCTTTATAAAATAACTAATATAAAGACCAGGGTTACGAGATGAAAGGCCAAAGGTAACCGTGGAGGTTAAGAAACACCTGGAGGAATTAGATGCAACACAATCAATGAACCCAGACTGGATATCACCTTCGCTGTTGAAGGAGGCTGCACAGGTGCCTTGTCACGCGCTAATTAAACTTTTCAATCAAAAAATTGAGATTAGAAACACCTCAGAATTTGTAGGAAAAAGCAGTCCAAATATTTAAAAATAAATGGGATAGACGGGAAGCCCCAAATTACAAGACCGGTGTCAGTGACAAGTATTTCGTCTAAAGTGCTTGAAAAATAATCAAGTAAATTTAAATCTTAGTTTTTAAGTTTTTCTCACATCTTGCCCGAAACGTTGTGCGTATTTGAGGTTTTAGGCATAGTATATACTAGCTCTATCTATAAATCCAACATTCTGCTTGTAACTCATTTGTACGTATGTACTTTTACCTAAATACAAAACTATAATTTATTACTAATAATTCTTATTATTATTATAATATAAGAATAGTGAACATCTGTTGAGGAAAACTTTATAGTTTCAAAACTTCAACATGGATTTAGAAGGAAAAAGTTGTTCCTTTTATACTTGTCAGAGTTCTTTCACAATGTACCTGAAATAAGACAGGAGTAAGAAGGCTGGTAGACTGTATTTTCCTAGATTGGCAAAAATTTGATACTGTTCCTCATGAAATGCTGGTGTTAAAGATGGAGAAGAAAACATGAATAATTGGGAAGACACTAAATTGGGTAAGAAACTAAATGAAGAATAGAAATAGTCAGTCAGAGACGAGGTTTCAAGCTGGAGGAAGGTAACAAGTGGGGTTCCCCAAGGCTTGGTCCTAGAACCCTCATACTGTTCCTAATGTATGTGAATGACCCACCCGAGGGAGTGAGCTTGTAAGTTTCAACGTTTGCAGACGACGCAAAGCTAATGAAGAACATAAAAACTTAGAAGGACTGCGGAGAGTTACAGGAGGAACTTGACAAACTCCAGGAGTGGGCATACAAATGGTTGCTAGAATTCAATCCTATCAAGTGTAAGTTAATGAAGATGGGGGAAAGGGAGAAAGGAGACCAGGAGGTATCTACACCATGAGGGGGAGGCAACTACAGGAGTCGGAGAGAGAAAAGAATTTGGTAGTGGATATAATTCTCACACTGTCTCTAGAGGCACACATAAACAGGGTAACACAGGCAGCATACGGGTCGCTGGCAAACATTAGAACGTCGTATAGAAACATAAACCAGGTATCTTTCAAGGCAATATACACAGCTCTGAAAGAGGTATACTGGAATATGCAGCACTGGCCTGGAATATGCATACCTTGTGAAACATAAAACCAAAATGTAAAAGGGACAAAGGCTTGCAATAAGATTAGTGCCAGTGCAGAGCTAAGGTATGAGGATAGGTTAAGTGAACTAGACCTCACAACGCTGGGGGAGAGAAAAAACAGTGGGAGATGATCGCAACATGTAAGATACCGAGAGGACTCATTACATTACATCCAGTTTCATTACATCCCTGGTCTTACCACAGGCATTACACGTCGCCACTAATCAGAAGAGTGACACACTTTATACTTACAGGTCTCCGGGTAATAACGCAATATCTCCTTATCGGTTCTATCACTCACTAAATCTTCATAAGAATGTATAAGAAAAGTCGTATCAGTACGTGGAGGAATCTCAGTGTCTTGAGATTGTAGGTGTGGTGCAGGTGTGGGCCATTGTGAACAGTTGTGGTGCAGGTATGGACCATTGTGAACAGTTGTGGTGCAGGTGTGGGCCATTGTGAACAGTTGTGGTGCAGGTGTGGGCCATTGTGAACAGTTGTGGTGCAGGTGTGGGCCACTGTGAACAAATGTGGTGCAGGTATGGGCCATTGTGAACAGTTGCGGTGCAGGTGTGGGCCATTGTGAACAGTTGTGGTGCAGGTGTGGGCCATTGTGAACAGTTGTGGTGCAGGTATGGGCCATTGTGAACAGTTGTGGTGCAGGTGTGGGCCATTGTGAACAAATGTGGTGCAGGTATGGGCCATTGTGAACAGTTGTGGTGCAGGTGTGGGCCATTGTGAACAGTTGTGGTGCAGGTGTGGGCCATTGTGAACAGTTGTGGTGCAGGTGTGGGCCATTGTGAACAAATGTGGTGCAGGTATGGGCCATTGTGAACAGTTGTGGTGCAGGTGTGGGCCATTGTGAACAGTTGTGGTGCAGGTGTGGGCCATTGTGAACAGTTGTGGTGCAGGTGTGGGCCATTGTGAACAGTTGTGGTGCAGGTGTGGGCCATTGTGAACAGTTGTGGTGCAGGTGTGGGCCATTGTGAACAAATGTGGTGCAGGTATGGGCCATTGTGAACAGTTGCGGTGCAGGTGTGGGCCATTGTGAACAGTTGTGGTGCAGGTGTGGGCCATTGTGAACAGTTGTGGTGCAGGTGTGGGCCATTGTGAACAGTTGTGGTGCAGGTGTGGGCCATTGTGAACAAATGTGGTGCAGGTATGGGCCATTGTGAACAGTTGTGGTGCAGGTGTGGGCCATTGTGAACAGTTGTGGTGCAGGTGTGGGCCATTGTGAACAGTTGTGGTGCAGGTGTGGGCCATTGTGAACAGTTGTGGTGCAGGTGTGGGCCATTGTGAACAGTTGTGGTGCAGGTGTGGGCCATTGTGAACAAGTGTGGTGCAGGTATGGGCCATTGTGAACAGTTGTGGTGCAGGTGTGGGCCATTGTGAACAAATGTGGAGCAGGTATGGGCCATTGTGAACAGTTGCGGTGCAGGTGTGGGCCATTGTGAACAGTTGTGGTGCAGGTGTGGGTCATTGTGAACAGTTGTGGTGCAGGTGTGGGCCATTGTGAACAGTTGTGGTGCAGGTATGGACCATTTTGAACAGTTGTGGTGCAGGTGTGGGCCATTGTGAACAAATGTGGTGCAGGTGTGGGCCATTGTGAACAAATGTGGTGCAGGCATGGGCCATTGTGAACAGTTGCGGTGCAGGTATGGGCCATTGTGAAAAGGTGTGAAACAGGTGTGTGACAAATGTGGTGATGATGATAATTCCGTGATGGTGGGTAATAATAATAATAATTAGTAGTGTATTAATATAATTATTATTATTCCTTGAACCATAAGGAGGACTCGAACTAGCAGGATTCGAACCTACGCTCTGGGTACTCCCAAGCACACGCCTTACACCACTTCACCACACGGCGACATGGTCAAAAGCAACATAACCTGGGATTTATCTAAATCCTCTAGGGGGATCCCAAGTTGCACTGCCTTTGACCATATCGTGGTGTAGTGGTCAAAGCCGTGTGCTTGGGAGTACCCAGAGCATAGGTTCGAATCCTGCTAGTGGCTCCGACTGATTTTCTCAGTATTGTTATTCTTCGTTTTAACTACAATACAGAGGAAGATGGAGATCATTGGATTACCAGCTGCAGATGGACCACAACTACACCAGCTACAACAACAACAACTACACCAGCTACAACAACAACAACTACAGCAAGCTGAGTGTCAACAAGAAGGTCCACCAGATATCGACTACCACCAACAGTTTGCTGTGAGGCCACACCCACACGAAGGCCATCACCACCAACTCACACTTCATCACCAACACCCACAACACCACCACCAGGAAGCTCGCAGGGATACATACCCTTCAGCAGGAGATAAGGTAAGCTCTTGGTTTACCATTGTACTGTGGTGGTGTAACGCCGTGATGCTGTGTTTACTTATAACCCCAGGACTCATCTCTCAAGCCCGCTGGTGCTTACGTCTGTGTGCCTGAACCATTTAGATCTCCTTAAACTCTAATGGCTGCTACCATCCTGATTTTTGTTTATTAGGCTACATAGAGCCATATGGGAGACTGTGGATGCTGTTCATATTGTTTATCTACCGGCTCGGCAAGTGTCCTGAATTTCATGTTCGATAACACCTGGCCAGTTCGCCAACTTGTCACTTACTACCACTTACGGTACATTAAAAAACTACCAGTACATTAAAAAACATTGGAGGAGGAATAATATTTTGTGATTCAAAGTCTGCTCTTCAAGCAATCGAAAACTTCTCCTGGAAGATCGACAGCAAGAACCTCATACTACCAATTATAAATGACCTAATCGTTGCACAGAGTAAAGGGTTCCGAATCTCCTTTGTATGGATACCATCACACATAAATATAACCTATCATAATGAGACAGACATTGCAGCCAAATTAGCGTGTAACAAAGATAAAGTTGAATTAAATCTAGGTATCCCCATCTCTGCTGTCAAAACTGTATTGGTCCAAACACTCAGGTCTGATAGGAAAGAAATTACTGACTCCCAACGACTTGAAAGTACTAGTATAAAAAGCTATGACTTGTTCAGATCTGAAACCTATATTTATGGGCAGCACAAAACGTGGACCAGACTGTGCGACACAGTGGTTGCCAGGATCAGGTTGGGTTACCGTTACCTGTGGCAGGTGGCTGCAGGTGAAGGATCTCCCAATCCTGAGCACTCCAGGTGCAAACTCTGTGAGCAGGAACTGCGGCACGATCTCCCTCACTACATCACCGAATGCCCAGTTATTAGACCTTTCAGACCAGTTGACATGAGGTACCTGGAGCTTTGCAATTACTTTATTCATTCTCGTATTCTTGAAGATATCCTCACAGTATACCCAAAATTTGCCAGTGCAGGCTACTGAACATATGGCCCTGTATGACTAACCATACTGTGATATGGGGACTTTTATTGCCACTGCTGCCTTATTAAAACTTGTGTTGATGATATCCTCAAAATGCACCCAGAGTCTGCCAGTGCAGACTGCCTATCACATGCCTCTGTATGACTAACCATCCTGTGTGATGGGGATTGTTTAGCATTACGGAGCTAGCTTTTTGACACACTGTACTCACCCTTAATATAGTCTAGGGTAGCTGCACAAATGCAGATGTACCCAATGTATTAATAAAAAAAAAAGTCCACCAGACTGTGCGACACAGTGGTTGCCAGGATCAGGTTGGGTTACCGTTACCTGTGGCAGGTGACGGATCTCCCAATCCTGAGCACTCCAGTTGCAAACTCTGTGAGCAGGAACTGCAGCATGATCTCCCCTTTCAGACCAGTTGGCATGAGGTACCTGGAGCTTTGCAATTACTTTATTCACTCTCGTGTTCTTGAAGATATCCTCATATTGTGCAGGCTTCTGAACATATGGCCCTGTATGACTAACCATCCTGCGAGATGGGGACTCTTAGTATCACTGCTGCTTTATTCACTCTTGTGTTGATGATATCCTCATAATGCACCCAGAGTCTGTCAGTGCAGACTACTGATCACATGCCTCTGTATGACTAACCATCCTATATAATGGGGATTTTTTAGCACCACGTAGCTAGCTTTTTGACACACTGTACTCCCCCTTCATATAGTCTATGGTAGCTTCACATATGCAGATGTTTCTAATGTATTAATAAAAAAAAGTATACATTATTTTTCTATTCCGAGTGACAGCTCTCGGAATAATGAAATAAAAAGGATCTAGGATGAGACACAAGGCCAAGATTATCTCCAGAGGCACAGATCAACTGAATGATATTCGCGGCATGGATTCAACTGACAGGCACATATTAGCAACAGTATTAATTTGGAGGACATTCAGATCACTGTACACGACCTTTGTGAGACATGGAACCCACTATTTAAAAAGTACAAAACAAGCTAGAAAAGATTTACAGATATACATGAAGGCTTGTTCCTAAGTGGGGGTGATTGAGCTCTGTGGAATTAAGCTGACCACACTGGAGGAAAGAGACATGATTATGACATGTAAGATTATGACAGATCGCGACAAAATCAACAAAGAAACAACGTTCAGAGTGTGGAACATTAGATCGGTTGGTCATAACTGGAAATTAGAGGCAAATAAAGCACACAGATGTATGTGAACAGGTTTTAAGTGTAAGAGTTGTACAATAATTAATGTGTTAGTTGAAGAAATGATTGAAGCTAACTCATAACAAAATTATAAATGTAAATATAACTAAAATGAGATAACATTAATTGCACTTAACTACTAATATCTCGAAAGGCTGGGCATTGGTGTTGGCGCTCGGTCTTGTGAGCACTTCTGGGTGAGTATAGACACATATAATGCTCGTATATGTTTATTATATACCACCGTAGAACATTACTCTAACAAACATCCCCCCCCCCCTTTTGTCAACAATACTGAAGCACTCTCCTTCACACAGAATCAGCTCCACGTCCCTCTAGGCACCTCCTCCTCCAACGAGGACGACTCGAATATCTGCAAGGAAGAGCAAACATTGAGAAGGAACCACCGTATACAACTAGAAGTTAATAATGTAATAATTAGACAACCAGAAATTGAGACAGTTATTGATGCGAAGGTAGAGCTAGAATACAGGAAACGTTCTGCGGACTTGGAGGTTCGACGCCTGAAACTAGAAAAGGTACTAGTTTTCGATCATTTATGGCATTTTTACTTTGTACGATTTGTTTGATGGGGTACTATAGTATATTTGGTTTGTTTAATGCATGCACCCTAAAAGTGCGTGTTGATGTCGACAGCTGCGCTCAACCATCCTGCTGGACGACCTGCAGAGTCTGCAGCAGCTGCTGGCGGAGAGCCCCCCACTGGCCCATGACACCCTCCTCTGTGAGCACGGTGAGCATAGTGAGCATGGGGCTGACAGGGGAATTGAGGGTAGCAGGGAGCCTCCATGGAGACAGAGAAGGGAGGCTTGGAGAGAGAAAGGCAAACGAGGCAAGGGAAGGAATCGAAAAGGGATGATAGCGAGTGAGAGAAGATTGAAGGAAGGAAGGTAGGTTAAGAGGAAAGATATAAAAAGAATAAGAGTGAAAGAGAGAGGTAATGGGAGGATAAGAAGGGAGGGAAGACGGTAAACTAGGTGTGAGCTTGGCAGAGATGGGTGACAGGGAAGAGAATGGAGATAGGAAAGAAAGAAAGAAGGAAAGGTTGGGTAGAATGAGGTTGACTGTGAGATTAAAGATGACGGGTAAAGTGACAGGTGTTGTTGTCGTGACAGGTGGCGCAGCGGCACACCTGGCCTCGCAGGTGGGGCGGCCTCGGGTGCTCAGACACCTGCTCAACACTACACATGTTGACCCCAACGCTACAGACTTCTACGGTGAGGACTCGTCTACATTTGTTTACCCTGAGAACCTGGGTGTTCCTAGCTCACTCTCCAGTCCTTCCATTCTCTCATAAATTAATACATTCCTGAGAAGTATATATTTTTATTACTCTTTTGTTGCTTGTCGTGAAAAGTTATTCAATAATAATAATGGCACCAGCTTTTGGTAATAATAATAATAATAATTATAGACTAATAATGAATATAATAATAAAAGTACTTATAATTGACAGTACTGCAGAAGCTCATTCCGTGTCATGAGATGTATCACGTGACACGGCTTGATATATGTGTCACATGATGGTCAGTGTTGTTAATTCCGTGCCATGTTACCAGGAGACACGGCACTGCACACTGCCACCAGGCAGGGCCAGGCAGAGGCCGTGGCAGCCTTGCTGGAGGGCCAAGCTGATTCCACCATCAAAGACCAACAGGGTGAGTGCCAATGAAATAAATTAATATTTCTTTGAAGGGTGCACGGTAAGCAGAGTGAGCAATTTATAACGTGCCCAAACTCGGATTCTATTAAAAAAAATATTTCATCTTGCAAAATCAAAATGTTTTCGGCAGGAGACTGATTTTGAATGATAATAGTCCGAATACTTCCTCGACATAATAATTCGGGCACGTTGAGAGCTCCTGTGGAGGTGTCTGGCAGCTCGGCTCTCACGGACCTAACATAAGCATATTCTATTTTGATTTAAAGTTCCGCCACCCAACACCTGTACTCCAGACATTATCAAACTACATTTTTAACTCACTAACTTGAGCTCCTGCTGCAGGCAGGACAATAGCACAGCTGGCGGCAGCTCTAGGGCACACAGCTATCCTGAAGCAGCTGTGGCGCCACGATCCACAGATCCTGCACCAGGTGGACGCCAGAGGCGCCTCGCTGCTACATTACAGCGCAGCCAATGGCAGAGAAGCGACCTCGAAGTGGCTGGTGCGGCAGGGAGCGTCGAACTCAGGAAAGAGAGCAGATGGAGTGAGGCCTCATCAATGTGCCCAAGCCAGGGATCAGGACCGTCTGGCCGCCTATCTGGCTCTAGCCTCCTCTAGCTCCGATGTACTGGTGAGTTCCATGTAGCGGTATGAGTGCCGGATGGTGGAGAGAGACGGCGCTGGTAGTAGCTACAAATGATACATAACATTTCTCCCGCTGCTCTCTGGAGATCCATAAACCATAACTTGATCTGCTATGCATCTCATTACATTTCTGCTTAAATTTCAGACCATCCAGCCATTTTCAGACCTTCCTGATTTGCAGGAACCAATCGTTATGACTACTGTGCTCTAATTTTAATAACACCCACCCAGGTGTCTGCTGGAGCTCCAGAGTTCACCAGAGTTTACGACCCTACCCAATGTATTTAAAAAATTAAATGTACTGTGGCCAAACCAAATAAAAATTGGATTATGGATAGGAAAGTTTGAAGATGTAAACACAGAAGGTTTACAGTCACTGAGTCTCTACATTGCCGACTGACTGAGTTGTTTGGCAAGACAACAGTCGTTTCTCTCCCTCATTGACTGTATTAATTTACGAATAACATTATTGCCACTGCATAAAGTCCCAGTTTCTCAGTTATTTGCAGTGTGGCTTAAATTTAAGACAACATTAGGAGTCAATCTTGGAACTAGTTTTTTCTTGATTTATATCTGCATACAAATGTATAAACTTGAAACTAATATGAGAGGATAGCATGCCTTACACATGTGGTAGAGGTGCTAAGAGTCTACACCTGCGACAGGTGTGGTGGCTGGTGGGTTGGTGGCCTCTCAGACACCTGTCACTGGGGCTGTACAACTGGGCCAGCGGGTGTCACCGAGTCCAACTATGCCACATTGACGACCTGTTGATAGAGGCGAGTGTTCAACTTACATTTGGGTGCCAATGGTCCTTGTGTGTGTGTGTGTGTGTGTGTGTGTGTGTGTGTGTGTGTGTGTGTGTGTGTGTGTGTGTGTGTGTGTGTATGTGTGTGTGTGTACTCACCTAATTGTGCTTGCGGGGGTTGAGCTTTGGCTCTTTGGTCCCGCCTCTCAACTGTCAATCAACTGGTGTACAGATTCCTGAGCCTACTGGGCTCTATCATATCTACATTTGAAACTGTGTATGGAGTCAGCCTCCACCACATCACTTCCTAGTGCATTCCATTTATTAACTACTCTGACACTGAAAAAATTCTGTGTGTGTGTGTGTGTGTGTGTGTGTGTGTGTGTGTGTGTGTGTGTGTGTGTGTGTGTGTGTGTGTGTGTGTGTGTGTGTGTGTGTGTGTGTGTGTGTGTGTGTGTGTGTGTGTGTGTGTGTGTGTGTCTGTGTGTGTACCGCGTGTATGATAGTGTATCTCACACAATAATAGATTACAAGCACTGAAGCGCCGGATATGGGGGCAGGTTGGATATGGATATGGGTTATCTTAGATAAGGGGCTCGGTTATTTGACAAGGAAACAGAGAGGGCGCGGTAAAGTATAACACAACCCATCCTCCTCTTTAGATAGTACTTCGTATGCACCATAGTACAAATATTGACGTACTAAGCAATTATATAGTAGACATTTGTACTATTTATTTACTTTACAAGAGTCAAAAATGAAGCTAAAATACAAATTTAAATATTCCTAGGCCTAGTATAACACAAATATGTATTATATTAGGCCTCAGATAGCGTGTGTTAGGCCTACGAAGGTAAGGTTAGGTTAGCTTTTCTTTGCAACATAAGTAGAAAATCGTTTTCCGGTTTGTCCAAATTTAATAGTACTGATTTCTACTTTCTAATTGCGTTGTACGTCGATATATATATATATATATATATATATATATATATATATATATATATATATATATATATATATATATATATTATGGTCCTCATCCTTCCTACAAGTACTACCAAAACAGGTGGATGAAATTATCAGGTGAAAACACTAAGTCAGTACGACTATATAGCACTTGGAAAGGATATGTGGATAAGGATTTAGGATAGGACGGGAGAAAGGAATGGTACAGAACTACAGTAGTACTAATTCAGACAAATGCGATTAATCAATAATACATTTCTACATCCATCCCAGTAGCCAAGATATTGCACTCAAAAATCAGTTGACTATTTTTTTGTAAATTGTTGACGAAATAATATGGTCAACCAAGTGTTTTCTGATCTCTTAAATTCATTATATATCCATAGTGCCATCAACAAACACCTTGCAGCTAGCAACATCACATAACACAAATTTATCAACTTTTGGACAATTATTGGCGCATTTTTTATTTTTTGATTAGGAAAAAGGTGACTTAATGTTAACATAAATCACCGCAAATACTGATTATTCTATGAGTCATCAGTACCCTTTAATATACTTTGCCCCTTGAGTGCTTGACAAGAATACAGGAGTATGCCTTTAAATTTGTTTCTATATTATGTTATAATGTATACTTTGTGAATGACAATAATATTATTATTAATAATAACAGCTATTGGTTTCTCACACAGATGTATAGAACACCTGTCATGCAAGGCGGTCCTACCGCTAGTGAAAGACAGATGTCAAGGGAACACGTATCCATGCACAGACAGCAACAGCTGCACGGACATAAACAATTGATTGGACAGATGCAACGGCAAGGAGAACAACAGTGTCAAATGGAAGAACAGCTAGTGGGGAGAGAACACCTGAACAAACAAATAACGATAGACGAACAAAAACAGAGGCATTTACAAGAACATTTGCATAGACCACAACGGAAGCACGAACAAAAAACAGGAATTAATCAAGAACAGCTGAACAGAAAAAGACAGTCACACGTGATGAATACACAAGAACAGCTGCAGACTGAAGAACATTTGCAAATTCAAGAACAATTTTACGAACAAGAACAGTTTAACGAACAAGGACATTCCAATATTCCAGAACAGCTATGCGAGCAAGAACATTTTCATATTGAAGAACAGCTGCGAAAACAACTACACGAAAATGAACAACAACACCTAGGCAGACAAGAACATTTGCAGATAAGGGATCAGGTGGACAGCGAAGAACAGCTGCACGTACAAGAACAGCTGCACATAGAAGAACAGTCGCACAAACAAGAACAGCTGTACGTACAAGAACCGCTGCACGTTCAAGATCAGCTGCACATACAAAAACAGCTGCACGTTCAAAAACAGCTGCACCAACAAGAAAAACTGCACGAACAAGAACAGCTACACCAACAAGAACAGCTGCACCAACAAGAACAGCTGCACCAACAAGAACAGCTGCACGAACAAGAACAGCTGCACCAACAAGAACAGCTGCACGAACAAGAACAGCTGCACATACAAGAACAGCTGCACGAACAAGAACAGCTACACCAACAAGAACAGCTGCACCAACAAGAACAGCTGCACCAACAAGAACAGCTGCACGAACAAGAACAGCTGCACATACAAGAACAGCTGCACGAACAAGAACAGCTACACCAACAAGAACAGCTGCACCAACAAGAACAGCTGCACCAACAAGAACAGCTGCACCAACAAGAACAGCTGCACATACAAGAACAGCTGCACGAACAAGAACAGCTACACCAACAAGAACAGCTGCACGAACAAGAACAGCTGCACCAACAAGAACAGCTGCACGAACAAGAACAGCTGCACCAACAAGAACAGCTGCACGAACAAGAACAGCTGCACCAACAAGAACAGCTGCACGAACAAGAACAGCTCCACCAACAAGAACAGCTGCACGAACAAGAACAGCTACACCAACAAGAACAGCTGCACCAACAAGAACAGCAGCACGAACAAGAACAGCTGCACCAACAAGAACAGCTGCACGAACAAGAACAGCTACACCAACAAGAACAGCTGCACCAACAAGAACAGCTGCACGAACAAGAACAGCTACACCAACAAGAACAGCTGCACCAACAAGAACAGCTACACCAACAAGAACAGCTACACGAACAAGAACAGCTGCACGAACAAGAACAGGTGCACCAACAAGAACAGCTGCACGAACAAGAACAGCTACACCAACAAGAACAGCTGCACCAACAAGAACAGCTACACCAACAAGAACAGCTGCACCAACAAGAACAACTGCACGAACAAGAACAACTGCACAAACAAGAACAGCTACACCAACAAGAACAGCTGCACCAACAAGAACAACTGCACGAACAAGAACAGCTACACATACAAGAACAGCTGCACCAACAAGAACAGCTGCACTTACAAGAACAGCTGCACGTACGAGAACAGATGCACAAACAAGAACAGCTGCACCAACAAGAACAGCTGCACCAACAAGAACAGCTGCACGTACGAGAACAGATGCACAAACAAGAACAGCTGCACTTACAAGAACAGCTGCACCTACGAGAACAGATGCACAAACAAGAACAGCTGCACCAACAAGAACAGCTGCACCAACAAGAACAGCTGCACGTACGAGAACAGATGCACGAACAAAAACAGCTGCACGAACAAAAACAGCTGCACGAACAAAAACAGCTGCACGAACAAAAACAGGCGCCTGTCGACTTAACCAGTGATCAGGTAAGAGGAGGCGTGTTACGGCGCATCTGTGCCGAGGTTTGTGTGCAGGTGTGTAAATATACACGTGTTTCAGAGCACAAATATATCGTGAAGATGTATCATGGTAGAACAGGTGTGTCACGGGGGTGCAGGTGTGTCATGGTGATACAGATGTTGTCATGGTCAGGCAAGTGTACTCACCTAATTGTGTTTGCGGGGGTTGAGCTCTGGCTCTTTGGTCCCGCCTCTCAACCGTCAATCAACAGGTGTACAGGTTCCTGAGCCTATTGGGCTCTATCATATCTACACTTGAAACTGTGTATGGAGTCAGCCTCCACCACATCACTTCCTAATGCATTCCATTTGTCAACCACTTTGACACTAAAAAAGTTCTTTCTAATATCTCTGTGGCTCATTTGGGCACTCAGTTTCCACCTGTGTTCCCTAGTGCGTGTGCCCCTTGTGTTAAATAGCCTGTCTTTATCTACCCTATCAATTCCCTTGAGAATCTTGAATGTGGTGATCATGTCCCCCCTAACTCTTCTGTCTTCCAGTGAAGTGAGGTTTAATTCCCGTAGTCTCTCCTCGTAGCTCATACCTCTCAGCTCGGGTACTAGTCTGGTGGCAAACCTTTGAACCTTTTCCAGTTTAGTCTTATCCTTGACTAGATATGGACTCCATGCTGGGGCTGCATACTCCAGGATTGGCCTGACATATGTAGTATACAAAATTCTGAATGATTTCTTACACAAGTTCTAATGCCGTTCTTATGTTGGCCAGCCTGGCATATGCCGCTGATGATATCCTCTTGATATGGACCGCAGGAGACAGGTCTGGCGTGATATCAACCCCCAAGTTTTTTTTCTTTCTCTGACTCTTGAAGAACTTCATCTCCCAGATGATATTTTGTATCTGGCCTTCTGCTTCCTACACCTATCTTCATTACATTACATTTGCTTGGGTTAAACTCTAACAACCATTTGTTCGACCATTCCTGCAGTTTGTCTAGGTCTTCTTGAAGCCTCAAGTAGTCCTCCTCTGTCTTAATCCTTCTCATAATTTTGGCATCGTCCGCAAACATTGAGAGAAATGAATCTATACTAGGTGTGTCATGGTGAAATGAATCTATACTAATAAATCTAGGTGTGTCATGGTGAGGCAGGTGTGTCAAGACAATGACACATGTGCATCACAATAACAGAATCCAATACAACCCCGAACAGAATAAATACTTAATCACTATTTTTGTGTGACGAAACCTCTCACGGAATATTAATTCCCGTGTAATATCAATGTGTTCCCGTCTATGGTATTGTTTTCCTATATGTACATTCATTTTATTTCTATGTAAGTTAATATATACCTGTGTACGTTAATTTTATTCGTGTGTACGTTACGTTAGAACAGTGGTGTCCCGTTATTTTTGATTCGGACCTCTTACGTAATTGTCCTGGGTCTGGAAGCTGTTGAGAACATGGCGGCCGTGATGGCGCTGGTCCACTGTCTCTACCACACCCGACCGCTACGCCACGGCTTCTCTCACCTCTCCTACAGGTAAGGAGGACTTCTCTCACCTCTTCTACAGGTAAGGAGGGTTACTCTCACCTCCTACAAGTAAGGAAGATTTCACAAAACATTCGATTTTGAAGCGAATCAACTAGGCTATTGTCTCCGTATAAACCCGAAACGCATCGGACGTTTGTGCTAGGTTTCAAATCTCAGTTCCATTCCCTGACATGCTGGCTCAAACCAGAGCCGATAGGGCTCTGCGGCCAGCCACCACTATGGAATGTATCTCTGGTAAGCCAAAGTCAGTTGCCTGGATCACTATTATCGCACGTGAGCAGCGGCGTCCCAGCTGTCATTCAGGTGAAGCAAGATGCACCTGTTCAACA